TTATGAGGGGAGGGGGGGGGGGGGGGGGGGGGGGGGGGGGGGTTAAAGGAAAGAAGTCAGAGGAGTGAGAGAAGAATGGAGCTACCTTGCTGATTCAAAGTAGGATTGAGCTTTGAGATGAGAAGACTTTCACGGACGAGAAGTTCATCTGGAGAGGAACATGATGATAAGATCTTAAAATCATCAAGAGAAGCAATATGACCTGAGTGGCTCAGATGGGAAAAGACGCTCGTCAGTTGAGGACTGCTACTCGTCTTACCAGTTAAGGCGAAAATACCCAGGTGTTCAGAGACTCGTGTATGTAGATGGTGGACCGATTGGTCCACAAAAGAATAAACTACACAAGACCTCAAAGCATCGGGAATTTTGTCCTTAAACATGAAGAAATTGGACAAACGTAGAGTGGGACGAAAAACAATTCTGAATGGAAGACAAAAGTATACCACTTTCTTAGATACAGAATGGATTAATTCCTTGGGTTGAAAGGTTTTATCAAGAAAGAGTCGAACGCAACGATCAAAAAGACGAGTAGGATAACCGTTCTGGTTGAGGATTTTTCTATAAAACTCAATCTGAGCATGGAAATTCTCATAGTTAGAGCAAATATTGAAAAAGCGGTGTAATAGTGAATATATTAAACCACGTTTAAATTGTAGAGGAGTGAAGCTATGGAAATTAGTTAAAAGCCCTGTGAATGTAGGTTTACGATAAACAGAGGTTTCAAAGTGACCATTAGTTCGTGTGATAGTAATGTCAAGGAAAGAAAGTTGACAATTTGATTCAACTTCACACGTAAAGTTAATGTTAGGATGTTGGCGATTGAGATATGCAAGAAAAAGAGGAATATGGTCCCTAGAACGGAATAGAAGGAAGGTATCGTCTACATATCGGCGATATAGTAAAGGCTTAAAATTGGTAGGGCAATTATTAAGCCAAATGGTTTCATGAAAAGATAAAAAAATGTTAGCAAATAGAGGCCCAAGAGGAGAGCCCATTGCTACGCCGTCTACCTGTTGATATAGGGAACCATTGAACAAGAAATGGCAGTTTTTGACAGCACAATTCAAAAGTTGTTTGAATTCAGAGCGAGTGAGATCATGAAAACGGATGGCATTCGAAAACAAGCGATCGGCAATTATTTCAATGATTTCGTCCAGTGGAATATTAGTAAACAAGGACGTGACATCAAAGCTAGCCATGGCAAGATTATCGGAATTAAAGTCTACACTTAACAATTCCTGCACAAAGAAGAAAGAATCACGAACCATGAAGGGGCTAGAGAAAATAGGACTTAGAATGGGAACAAAGAACTTGGCAATCTTATAAGAATAATTATTAATATATGATAGAATTGGTCTAAGTGGAATATTGTTCTTGTGTATTTTCGGAAGTCCGTATAAGATACCAATGCGAGAGCCCGTAGGATAGAGTTGTTTATAGGTTGCTTGCATGCGTGATCGATTCAGATTTCTTCAATGAGGCTAGAAGGTTCTTAATTTGGTTTTCACGCTGCAATGCTGTTCCGCGTCGTATGTGGGCCAAACGATGCTGTTCCGCGTCGTATGTGGGCCAAACGGTCCGCCATCTACATACACGAGTCTCTGAACACCTGGGTATTTCCGCCTTAACTGGTAAGACGAGTAGCAGTCCTCAACTGACGAGCGTCTTTTCCCATCTGAGCCACTCAGGTCATACTGCTTCTCTTGATGATTTTAAGATCTTATAATCATGTTCCTCAGTCTGGTCCCAGTCGTTCTGAAGCAAGCGCGAGAAAAAACGTGGATGTAGTACGAGACTGGGATCTAGGTGTGACGTCACCGCAAAAGGTGCTTAATTAAGAACGCCTAGCAGATTTCAGTATTTTTAATATGGCGAAAAATTTATTTATACAAATAAGTTTGTAAATACGACAATGTTCGTTGATCATGTTTGATGTCTACATAACCAAATTCAAACTGTATTAAAAATGTGCTCAATTAAAAAAAATTATATACAAATTTACGATACTGAGTATGAGCAATGGTCGTATAATCGTTGATGTAATTCGTATACTCGCAAGTTGTGATCAACACTAGACCATACTGGTATACACAACTACGCTTTTTACTTGACAGGTTTAAGTAGCTGAGGAGATTGGAAATATTCGCCTGACATGACTGTGTTGTGAAAACATTTTTGATCGGAGACTCGGCATAATTTTCAAGCTTCTAGATAGCATTTAATATGGCTTTATATTTTAGTAAACACGAGTCATATTTAGCTCGTTATTCCATTCTGGCTGTATGGTAGCGAAACGTAACCTATTTCATTGCTCCGACAGCATTAGAGCAAAACTAATGACTTAATTATAAACACAATGGAAATTTCCATAACATTTTCTATTTACAAATGCGATATGCTTGGTAACCTTGCCAGGGACCAATTTTTTGAAATCAGGGACCATTTTACCGAAATCTGCTAAATGTATCAAATTAAATGTATCAAAGCAGCGAATAGAGAGAGAGAGCCTGGGACTAGGCTGCATGTTCCTCTCCAGATGAACTTCTCGTCCGTGAAAGTCTTCTCATCTCAAAGCTCAAACCTACCTTGAATCAGCAAGGTAGCTCCATTCCTCTCTCACTCCTCTGACTTCTCTCCCTTAACCCCTCTGCATTCCTATTATCTCATCACCTTGTAATTTGATATTGTAAATAATTTATTCATATTTGTAACTTATTGTCATACTATATTCATTTACTCTGAAGATGTCTTAAGTTAAAGACGAAACATTAGTACTTCTAAATAAATTTTATTTCGATATTATTGTCTATATGGCTCTCTTTCGTACGTTATGCTGGGCATTAATCTTTATAATACGATTTAGTCTAGGACCTGTATATGAGTTTGTATGCGTTTCATTTAGCACAGGTAATCTCAACTGTTTTAGGGTAAAATGACCATGGCGGTCAACATGGCATATGTGCGAAAACCTGAATCCGGGACGAAAGTCCTGAAAATGACCCCGCCCTGAAACGGCAGTGTCGACATAGCTCTAACTTCAGAAAACAAAAATCTATAGTCTTTCTGAAGTGCTTATAGTGTTTAGAAGGGCTGCTTTTAGAGTGGTCATTGGAAGAAAAAAATTGTCTAAGTATAATATTTTACAAGAAAATGACCATGCACCACCCCAGGTAAATTGCTAATTATGCATAAAATAACTAATATTCCCCGCAGAAATTAAATATTCTTATTTCCTAAAAAAATTATCATGGAGTGAAAAACTATGCTTAATTTAATATAAATATTGTTGATATCATAAGGATTGTCATTGTTTTCTTTAAATATAATACATTTTATTTCACTTACCCCCCACGAAAACACATTTCAGCCATATTTTGCCGTCTTGTTTGCTTTTTATCGCCGAATCTCGCAAATATCATCCAGTTATTGTACTTTTATATAATCATAAATGGCTGACGAAGATTTCAAAGAAGGTTTCATCCACCTTTGAAACAGTGCAGTGTATTTTATCTTCGATATTGTGTCCTTCGATATTTCGTTAAATTGCCGCCATTTTAATGGCTCGCCGCTTCTCTGCCCGATAAATGCCACTTCGTCGTTTTCATATGTATTTAGATTACATTATCCAAGAGTACTTCTTTGTAAAATAGTCCCAATCCAAAAATTGGAAATATTATATGTACTTGGGAGGATAAAACCTCCCAAAATAGTTGTCCTGTCAGAATTCAAAAGAAGTAATTTAAAAGTCACGCGCAAGTTCGCGAAAACACCTCGTGGATTACATAACAGGGGGAAGTGAATATTTTCACGAAACGTTTGTTCGCCACCACAGCAACCTAACTAAGTACATTATATTTATTGTATATTTGTGATTTATGAAAAAAATAATAAATATTTGCGTATTTTTATCATCAATTATAAAAATACAAAAAATATAATACATTTAGTTAGGTTGCTGTGGTGGCGAACAAACGTTTCGTGAAAATATTCACCCCCCTGTTATGTAACCCACGAGGTGTTTTCGCGAACTTGCGCGTGACTTTTAAATTACTTCTTTTGAATTCTGACAGGACAACTATTATGGGAGGTTTTTTCCCCCCAAATACAAATAATATTTCCAATTTTTGGATTGGGACTATTCTACAATGAACTACTCTTGGATAATGTAATCTAAATACATATGAAAACGAAGAAGTGGTATTTATCGGGCAGAGAAGCGGCGAGCCATTAAAATGGCGGCAATTTGACGAAATATCGAAGGACACAATATCGAAGATAAAATACACTGCACTGTTTCTAAAGTGGATGAAACCTTCTTTGAAATCTTCTTCAGCCATTTATGATTATGTAAAAGTACAATAACTGGATGATATTTGCGAGATTCGGCGATAAAAAGCAAACAAGACGGCAAAATATGGCTGAAATTGTGTTTTCGTGGGGGGTAAGTGAAATAAAACGTATTATATTTAAAGAAAACAATGACAATCCTTATGATATCAACAATATTTATATTAAATTAAGCATAGTTTTTCACCCCATGATAATTTTTTTTAGGAAATAAGAATATTTAATTTCTGCCAGGCATATTAGTTATTTTATGCATAATTAGCAATTTACCTGGGGTGGTGCATGGTCATTTTCTTGTAAAATATTTACTTAGACAAATTTTTTCTTCCAATGACCACCCCTAAAAGCAACCCTTCTAAACACTATAAGCATTTCAGAAAGACTATCGCTTTTTGTTTTCTGAAGTTAGAGCTATGTCGACACTGCCGTTTCAGGGCGGGGTCATTTTCAGGACTTTTGTCCCAGATTCAGGTTTTGGCACATATGCCATGTTGACCGCCATGGTCATTTTACCCTAAAACAGTTGAGATTACCTGTGCTAAATGAAATGCATACAAACTCATATACAGGTCCTAGACTAACTGTTAAATTCAACAAGCTAACAGAGTAAGACGATTCAAAATTTATATGTAAACAGTCATACTATAATGCTCTAGTATTGATCGCCTCACTTTCTTTGTATATATTTCTTCTCGATTTATCCACACTTTTATACTTTAAATACGACGGTTGAGCAAAACCATAGGTCCCATAGGTCAGCAATCACAACTTTCTCTTTTTTGAGTTGTTTCTTTTTCGTCCAATCACTCCACACTTTTATACTATTAACACGACATTTGGTTTTGTCGAGGTGATCCAGAAACTTCTGCACATACAGTTCTGGTATATACATTATATACATAAAATGATTTTGGCATATCTATTTAGAATGTTCAAATATAAGACTAGCATTTGTATGTACATGTTGTAGTCTTTAGAAATTTATTTTCCATGCATAAAATAAATCACCGCAAACAAGGATTATAGAATTTACCACGGAATTCAGCTTTTGCATCGAATCCCGAATCTAAATCTTGAAAACTGTAGGAATCTAGGACGTTATATAACAATATCATTGTTTCAAAATGTTAAGAGCTGTCTATAAGGACTATAGTACCACAGCATGTCAGATGGCATGAGCAGGGCGGGTGAAGTGATACGGAGAGGGCACAAAACCAGGATTTTCAAGGGGAGGAGATGGGGATGAAGGGTTCTTCGCGCCCACAAATGTCTCTAGCCAGCATCGAATGTGCACGAGGTCTGGTTACCGATCTGCTATTGGCATGGATATCTAGACATGGCGCTCTTTTATAATATAACTCAAAACCCAACTATAGTAATCATCCAAGCATCACTACGTCCAACTATCCCCACTTCCAGATCCTCTGCCAATAACAGTCCCAAGTTCTTCGGGCCAAAATGCAAAACAGTAACATATCAAAGATTTTACATGATTCGGGCAACTCGAATATGGAACCATCTCGTTGATGGACTTAACTTAAATATGGATAGTCTTTCGTCATTCAAGTCGGCAATGTTTAATTATTACAATTCCTCTTTGTACTCGTGTTACGATGTCGAGGATCCTCGTAGTTATAAAACTATATGTCCCAAGTGTAATTCTGTTCATAAGTGTAATCTGTATGTCGGAATTGGTAGTACTGTTCTTTATTGTTTAATATGTGTACTGCTGCAATTTATTTATTTGGGTCATATTATGAAGAAAGTTGAACAAGCCGAATCAACGTAAATAAAATTATTGAGGCTTCGAGACGCGTCGGGAACAGAACTACACGCCATTTGACATGACCTATGATCTTCATACTTCAGGGAGAGCTGTGACTGGATTAACAGAAATCATAGAGATTATAAGGAATAGAGTGGGCATTGCGAGATTAGTTCGTAGCTGATTCAAGCATGTTTGTCAGCCGTTCGTTATAAATAATGTATCAGTATTTATATTGGTAAAATTTAAAGGTGATCTACAGTCCGTATGTAAACAAAGCCTTTGTTTACATTTTTGTGTCCAAAATATTGAGCTTTATTCGACAACTATTTATATTTTCAAGCTTCTAGAGTATAATAAATGATCAAGAAACAACAATCAGGCTTTTCAAGAACTGAAAACATAGTTAAACTGTTTGTATCATAAAAAGTGGGCTCATTTGTGCACATGCGCAGATCGGACTGTAGATCACCTTTAATACTGTTTACGACAGTTTCCCACAATGAAAAGCGTTTTTTACTTATCCTACTTTTTAGCACTGTCGTGACAGAGCAACTAAGATTGATTGAGTTTTGGGGGTTGCCGAATGCATGTATTTCTAGTATTTGAACTATTCTTACCTTAGGCCATAATGCATGGGAGTTCGTCAGTAATCATTGGGCGGTGGGTTATGTTATTTATTTTTTAACACCTCATTAAGTTCTGGTCATTTAATTGGCTGATTACGATCACGTGATATGGAATTAAAATTACCATTTTGCTATCGTGCAATGGAACGCGTGCAATAGCACGCTCGGCCATGCAATGGTACGAGTACTATCGCACGGTAAGGTTTAATTAAATGCAGTCATCCAAAATCCATAATTTTCATACTGAGCCCGATAGAACATAACTTATGCGAAGCAAACTGGCAGGTGTAAAAATACAATATCGATAATTTTTACGATAAATGATCTCCATTATCATATTAATTCACCGTTTTGTTGGATTTTAATTATTCTTGAACAAGGTATGTATTTAATACTAAAAAATCCGATAAAATCTATCTATTTGCAGTATTTTGGAATCATATAAAACAAATTATTTGCAAAATGGTGTCATATAAAACAAATTATTTGCATACTATATTACTAGTATAGCCCACTGATAATATAGACGTCCAGTGAAAACGATAGCCATACATAAAAAGGCGAAGTCAAGATTCAAATTATTCCCTGCCGCTAACAATGCAAAGCACGGTGTTAGCTATACCCTGCTGTCCTGTTGTCTTATGGACCGACATTATAGAATTTGGACTGCCACTTAAAAGACTGCCTTTTAGACGGCCAATTATCGTATCGACGTCTTTCGGATGGTTTCTAAAAATCTGCAGATTGTACACAGTACTTGATGGCCTCAATTGGAAAAAAAACATTAAATGGACATGCAGTTTTCAAGGCCAATACAATTTTCGAAAAAGATTACAATACCCTTTCATGCTTTGAAAAGTCATTCAATTTTGATTAGGTTCCTACATGTATGTTTTTTTTCTTTCAGTGGTGCTTGCAAAACATTTAAGGTAATTGCCATGAAGGTATTGCAAAAATAATCCAGTGGTTTTACTTATATGATTGCTAAGCACGAAAATTGCTTTTAAAAGACAGTAGACCATGCAGTTGTATGCTATTTCGCTTCTGAGGAAAATATAGTGAGAAAGTAAGATGGAAAGAGTGAATGACATGTGAATGACATTGATACAACGAAATGAAGAAACAAAACAAATACGTGAACTGGGGGGGGGGGAATGGATGGACTACAGTGCAGTGTAGTTATGAAGTCAAAAGGGCTTGGATGACAAGGGTGTTCAAGTTTAACCAAACAACCTGACCAATGTATAGTAAATAAATTTGGCCATTTGGACCAACTCGACAGCCTATATAGATGACATTTACACTTCCTTTTCCCGTCTTTGTCTAGTAATGGCCATGCCAGAATATTGGAAGAAAATTCCAATTTTCCATGAGGCCAGCAAACTTATGATATCCTTATTTAGAATGGGTTGTAAGGTGAAGAGGTGCGAATACAAGTGCAAGTGCATTTACGCAAGTGACGTGAATGATATGTCACTTACTGTTCGCAGATCTTCCTCTTGACTTCGAAGACAACTGAACTCACCTATTAATAAGCTAGACAAAACAGAAAAGAAAGCGAAATTAGCACAACAACTGAAAAGAGAACATAAAAATTGCATCAATTCAATAGACAATAAGGTACCTTGGCAGATACGTGTTATTGAATAAGGTATAAGGTACAGTAGGTTGTTTACTGCAATCTCGGTTACTTTTCTCAAATTTATATACCGACACACAATTATTTGCATATTGCACATGCAAAATTTCTTGCACAACCTAGCTACCCCCTCTCTTTACCATTACACTGAGCAAGTCATCTTGTGTGGGAAGTGATACATTTGGGCAGTGGAAGACAGGTGTGGCAATATTTTTGGCCAGAAATGTAGCCGGGAAACAGCTATCATAATGGTTTTGTTGCTTATTACTTGGAGGAATAACCAGGAGTTACGGCTCGTTGTGCTCATTAATTACGTTTGCTTTTCTAGCTAAACTATAGTTAATCAGCCAACTACTTGAAGAAACCGTTTTGGCAGAGTTTATCCATTGTATAGGTGGGTTTCCTACTACCGTGCAGTAGATGGTACATAGTAAACCAGCAATTATCTGAGTGAAAAAGACGATGTAAATTCAATAGACTTGTATTTGGAAGACTATATTAACAGGGTTCGTAGTTTCAAAGACCAAAAATATTCGAAGACTTTCAAAAACTTTTTTTCTGCCCACTTTCAAAAACATTTCAAAGACTTTTCAGAGCAATCAGCTGTTGAAAAGTTGCGATGCGTCTTCTTTTTGATATTTGTGAAACTCATGCTGCAATCAATCTACAGGGTGTATCAAAATAAACGCAATTCATCTTTTGTGCTTAATAACTTCCGAAATACTATTTATAGTTAAACGCTTTTAGGCTTACTTCAAAGCCTGTTCTTTTCTCTTTCAAACAAACTATTATCCTTGTCTCCAATGCTAGTAATAATTGCACAAGAAAAGATTTAGTAAAACCTATCATTTTTAGTTGCTGTTTAATTATGCAAGTTTACTATGTTATTGTTTAGTCGGTTTAAATGTTAGAATTTTCTTCTTTAAACTTTAATGTTGTCATCGCTACATCTGGAAAACCACGTAAGAACAAATTAAAAGTATTTTAAAAAAGACCAGGTTGTTTGAAAATCCTAAACGAATGCTAAAAATCGTCAAAACATTCTTGTGTCTGAGCTAGAGTGTTATCGAATTGCGATGTAATGTAAACAGAAATTATAGCAAGTTGATGTCAGTCAGCTTGGATGGTCCAAGCCAAAATTATATCGCATTTGAAGTTTCAAACTGAGTTAAAAATAGTGGAAGAAAAGCCGTAATTATACTTATTGTTACAATCCATTTAATAAAATGCAACATTTTTTTGTTTTAATGAAAAAATCAGTTATTTTCATGAGAACGATTTGTTATTCCATCTCAATTTTTTTAATCTCCAATCGCAATAACGTAAAGTATTATTACCCGCGAACCAATGAGTCAAATTTAAGAAACAACCCACTGTTAGAAAGCTGAATGGCTACGCTTTAAAATGAATGTAAACTTTAACGTTTTCATCTATTATTTGTTTAGCAATTTACATTTCAGTCGAGGATTGCGCTTTTTTTGATACACCCTGTATATATATACTAGCCACAGAGTCGTATAAATCAAATACTTTTTTAAATAACTTAAAGACTTTTTAAAAGACTTTTAAGGATTTCAAAGACTGCTACGGATCCTGTAAGCGGTTGAAATAAGAGAAAAGTGGTTTAATTTCTCGTCTTATACGTATAATAGTGGCACTGAAGAACAATTTTTATTTTGCCAGTTACCTCTTTTTCTTTTTCTTCTGTTTGGCATGTTCTCGTTCAGTTTTGAGAGTGGAAGCAGTGGAATGTCTGTGCGGTGGGACAGTTGGAGGAATTGGGCTACCTGAAGTCAAAATTCAAACATTATAGGTATAAAGGAAACTTACAATGTATCACACACTTACAGCCTTAAATTACTTTCATGACTCATGACAAAATTATGGAGTTCTAAATTGTTGGAATTAATGAGAAAAAATGATGTGCAAACTGCATGTGCAATTAAAATAATATATGTAAGGAAAGGAACAGGGCCACAAGTTTGACAAAAAGGTTTTTTGAAAATTCTAATTATAAATAAATGGAAAATATTTTGTTTTCATCTATTTAGCTTTATTCAGCAATAAGGTTGCAATATCCAAAATGAATACACAATATAAGCACAATCGGAATGTAATCGATTTTATTAGTAGTTCTTGACGTTTGGAAGTGCCTGTATCGCCTTGTACCATCTGTGTACAATATTATTACTTCAAAAGAAATGATCATGAGATAAACACTCGTTGCAATGATAACAATGTTGTTTTCAGAGTGTGGACGAAAATCGTTCATGTTTTTTCGTTCACGGAAGAAATTTTAAACGTTCCCCAATGACATTAAAGGAGAAACATCTATTGTGACATTTAGAAATAAACGTACTGTCCCATCTTTTCCGATCTTGTTATATCATTAAATACATTACTGTTATCAATGGGGGACGTGTACAGATATTTATTCGAGGGAAAAGAACTTGAGAAGTTTGCGAGAGAAATGCAAAAAAAGGGAGAGTGAATCAATTGAGAAAAGTACTATCAGAACTGATCGAAAGAATGCTCATATATTGCAACCGAAGTTTGTTAGCTGTTGCTCGTCTCCGAAAGGGGAAGGGTTTTGGCAAATAAGACAACTTGTATCAAGGTTTTTTATCATTAGGGTCTTTATTATGCGTAGAATGGAAGCGAAATAATGAGATTCTTTTGTTTAGATGCCCTCCATGCATGCATACATGTACAGAGCAGCTGGAGCCTGACTAAATGCACCTATATATTAGACAATAAATCCGTATATATATGCACATGTCTAATATTTAAAACAATGGAAGATGCTCATAGAAAGTAGCGACGCCACACTGCGTGTAGGGTTGGGCGATATTTCGATATTTTGATTTATCGCGATATTTTCAACCACGATAATTGTAACGAAGGTAGAAACTTGAGCGACGATATATCGAAATTATCGTCACGCTCGATGACTATCGTGATAATGCTTCGCATGTGTGTACATAGCTTTTACAAAATTCTAAAAACTTCTTTGAATTCCTAGAAAATATAGTTTTTAAAAGAATTAAAACTATTTCCTGAATTAAATATGAATTTAATACAATATTAAAGCTAATATTTATGTATTAATCCGCTGAACAATGAAATTGCATGCTATGTTTGCGCTGTGTGCCCACGGCATTTGTGCCTGCGGAGACACAGTAGACACTGCATAGACAGTTCAAGTTTATGAACAGTAAATATTAGACAAGAAAAAGCCTGCTTATTACTTTAATTTGTTGTTTTATTTGTCATTGTTTTTATAACATTTATCGCGATATTATCGAATATCGTGATAATTTCCTCGACAATAATCGTGAGATGATTTTTTTAATATCGCCCAACCCTAACTGCGTGGACATGTCTGTTTTTGGTTAGTGTTGTAAAATTTGGTAAACTGTGTTTTTAATTGGAAGTATAAAAATTGGGTAAGCCAGTAAGACACAAACCATTAAAGAGTGATACGGAGAATCCTCACTCGAAAAATTGTTGTACTGAGAATACGCGTCCTAAAGTTCGTTTTCCACATTAGCGTCTTTCTTCGCCAAGTGAATCGGATATTTTCACAGACACATTGCAGTCGTTTTAGAAAAGAATATCGGGAGGGGTGGGCGAGGGTATGCGTATTACATTTACTATATCTCTCTCAAAAAAGGGAAATCATGTCCTCCCTCATATACCCCAGGTCATGACGTGCCTCTAATTCCTCCTTACGCCTGAATCATCATCAGCATGAATAATTTTCCACTTTCAACTTCAAGTGTATATCGCAGCGTACCGTAATAATCTCTTCTTGCGTTTCAGTATAGTTAGTTCTGCCCAGGTGTTCACGGAACAAAGTGGAAAACAGAATGTATACTAATAATTATACGTGGGGAAGCAAGTAAGCTAGTTCCAAAGTCACCAAGCTCAAAAACAAGCAAGGTCCGAATTTCTATCGAGAGACTCGGTATTATTTTTCTTCCATAAATCCTCTATTAGTCCCCCACCTTGGGAGGAGTAATTTTAATTATTAAAAGGCCGAGTTACTGAGCAATTCCCGTCTGTCTTCGTGTCGCATTTTTTGGCAAGTAACAGCAAAAATATTTATTAAATACGGTTTAAATTTGCTCCCTTCTATTAAACGTCTTCAGATTATACTTTTTTGTTTTCGGAGAAAGAATTTTATACAAATTCCCCCGAAACCTCTGCAAAACAGAAGTTTTCTGCCATTCTTTTTTCACAACCGTCGTCCGTTATGTATAATGGTCCCTGGTTGAGTAGCCAATCAGAATGCTGGAATTGTAATAAACCCTGGTGAGTGTATACCAATAGAGGATGTACGGTTTTTAACAATTAGTTGCCTAAACAATATGCTGATTTGGATATACTTAACCACACCAATGACGGCCGATCACATAACTTCAATGTCAATAATTACCTCGGTGAAAAAAACAAAACAATAGACACCTTAAGATTGACGTATTTTTCGCAAACGTCTAACCGCTAGAAACCACGTGACCAGGAGTTTGCCGTCACGTTTGCCGTAAATCGCTCACGTTTTAAACCTCAAGAGTGCATTCTACAGGTAAGTGATTTACCTCATCATTTTATTCAACTGTTATTACTTCATTGCACGTATATGACATATGTTAAGACAAATATACATCTTATCTTTGATTTGGATGGATAAAAGTTGTTTTTAACGGGAAATTTTTCGTATTCTGAGTGCTTTTAACCGAACCATGTATAAATTCGATACATAGACAACATGGCGCCCAATCGACTCTCTAATTTATTTGGGTTAAAAAAACATGAAAATTTCGATTGTCAGTTCAATATTTTGTGGCCGATTTTGGTATGATAGATTTCTTAAATTGAGATTTGTTTATTTTAAGTCGTGTTTTGAATCGTTTTAATTAATAAACGTTTACATTTGAACATTCACGATAAAGCAAGTTCAAAATCATTGATGACCTTTTCACAGTCCGTGTTTAAACATATTTGCATATTTCTTACTTACATTTATACTTTCATATTTCAATTCATTTTAACAAATTGGTAGTGACATTTGTTTTTTGGACAGGAAATTCAAATGGATCCTATAGTTTCGACGGAAAAAAATTGAACGCGAAGAAAAACGTCAATCTTAATTTCATATTTGCAAGCACGGCAAACGTGAAACCGCTAACGGCAAACCGCGGTTTGCGGTTAGGCGTACATAAAATAAACGTCAATCTTAAGGTGTCTATTGTTACGTTACGCCACGGTAAAAGTGGATACAAGTTTGCCTCTAATAATAACAAGACAAAAGGCGTGCAAGTCTGACGTGCTTGTTATCAGTGAAGTGACATGTTCAACCGTAACCAGCGTCGTTAAATGTTTAGGAATCGCAAATTGAAACCATCTTTTGCTTGAATTCGTAGTCACTAATTACAACGGTTACCCATTTTGGAAGATATACATATACAGACATTATAGACGCGGCTATTGTTGTTGTTTTATGCGAAAATATATTGGATACAAATATACAAAGTAGAAATATCGTACATATCAAAATAAAGCCTGAGTTCATAAGAAAATTACAAAATTACACTTTAAATTATACAAAGTAAACAGCAAGCATGTATATGATATATCAACATATATAATCCTCCAAGTTATGAATTCATGCATGTTTTTAAATCTCTAGAAATTATATACCAAATTATTTTTGGTCTCCACTCTATGTTGTTCAAATCTGGTCAACATAATATTAGCACAGTAGGCCTATATACTGTACATATAATTGGTTTAAGAGCATTTAATCCCTTAACTAACAAATTAATTATTCATGAATTAATCTAATTTTTAAAAGTTATAAACATATATATAGTGATATGTCCGACATCGGCAAAAGCGTACAATTAATTATGTAGTGTAGATACAGAACGCCTTGTTTATATTATCATGATTCGCCTTGATATCGTATGCAACAAGTGGCGCCAGCGAAAATCCTCAGTGGTACACGGCGTTTATTGAAGGTAGAGCCAATATAGCCAGTCTCCTCTTTGATGAACACGTCGTCTTGCTCAGGTGTCATCGAACGTCGAACAGGGAGTGGTCGAGCTAGCATATGGCAGAAAATGAAGGTATAACAAGCTTTAATACACCTTATATACAACAATGTGCAGTGTGGCGGTTACGTGATTTCGAATGCGTATGGGATGATACGTACGACTTTCCAGGAAATTATATTTTATATTTTTATATTATGATAATTTAAGCACTTTAAAAGAAACTGCATACTAACCTAAAAGAGTGCAATGAAATAAATGCAGTACTCCTTCTTCTTTTTTCCCTGACATATGGTATCGATTTTATATCGGTTTAATGCCAGTCAAAACACAAATTTGGCATACGTTTAAGGGAAAGCACGGTTTCAAATTTAAACAAGTGAACGTTGACTTTGATACCCGCGTGTGTTACACGAAACGCGCGATTGCGTTGGATCACTTACGAGCAAGAGTATCTTCACCTTTTTGGGTAATCACATCATCCCTCTAGTTGATAACAAGCCCTAATGCGACTTTAGATCAACCCTGGTGAGTTTTAAGACCACATTGTCTTATATACTAGTTTAAGCAATTTTCGTGCGCCTAAATTAGGCAACGACGAAAGTATATAAAATGTAAAATTCTGTAGTGTCCCACATCAACTACATTCTCTTGTTGTAACTCTATACATTGCCTTTATTAGGAAAAAATTACTTAATAAATGAGTTGCCCACCATTTACGAGATGCATTTAAGCTCGTCGGATTATGTGTTTTTGACTAGCCGTGCACAAAACATGTATAAAAAAGACCCAATTTTGGCTGAACTTGTTATACCTTCTGCCGCCATACGCTAACCTGCAGCTACATCAAAGAGCATTAACTACATACGTTTATGCCATTCCACTCTCTTGGTTAGTATCATAAAATGTACGTTACAATCTAGTGTGGTATAATTTAAATGCTATACAGAACAGGTAATAACACCGAAAATATTCATTCTTTCTTTAATGTTTAATTTCTGCAGTATACAATAATTGAATGTGTTTAGTATCACAAAACGAACTTTATTTATTTCCAGTTACTCTCCTGGATATAAGGAGAGTCGGCAAGCATAGCTTTCTGTTTTTTTAGTCTCTCAATTACTCCACACTATTAATACGGAAATTAGTTTATCGACGGTGGAACAAAACCCCAGGTATATGTACCTACCAAAATCGTGGCTCTGATACAATGACGTAATCGCGAGCATGGTACCAATGCCCCCTCACCCGCGGTCTCCGGCCTTGTAGGCTGCAGGCGAGGGGACTAAATGCTGATAAGCCTGATATAAATACAAATAAAGCAGGTCGCAGCAAGAACGTGAGCCACTGGTTTCCCATTTGTTCCCCTGTTCTTAATTAAGACATTTTAATGTTTATAGGTAATAGAATGATTTCAAGTGAAATTTGGAGAAAATGCACGACTGACTTTTTCAAAGACGATCAAAATTGCACGAGACCGTAGGACGAATTACTTTTTTGAGCAATAAATTGCATTTTCGTCACTGTATTACGATAAAATTGAACTGCTTTTACTCAATCAGAATTGAGAAATTTTGTCATGTATATTATTAATTAATTAAATAAGCCAATATACCTGCATGGTAACTATCTACAGTGCAAACTAGCGTGTTGGTGGATGGAAGTGCTATATGCTATATACAGTCAAGTAAATAAACTTATACACTGGCCGGTACTTACAGTTTACTGTCAATCTTTCTTTTGCACTTTTGCAATAACTTTCGATTACGCCAAGTATTAACATATCTTCTTCAAGAACCCGTCCAGATGCTGTTGAAAGTAAAATATACATACAATACTAAACTGAATTTCAGGTTGAGTTATTTACATTTTGGAAGTACTTTGTGATCTAATCATGGTGACGCAATAATCATACCGGATATAGGGCTTGTGTTTGCAAATGAAATGATGTATAGTCGGTAATTTCTGCACGGGTGCGGCGCTTCGCTCTTCCAAGCGGTGCATGTTTTGCCGGATTGGTTTAAATTGCAACGCTGTCATTGTAATGTAAAGACCAATCGTAGCTATTTTGGGTTCAATTTATTCCATATTACCCGGCACTGGCGCAGCTAGGATTTGTATTCTCGGTTAAGCAACCTTGTATCAAGTAAATTGAAGCCACTTTTGAGTTGGGACACAGGGCAAAATGCCCCCCCCCCCCCACGCCTCAATCGTTTCAGCCGCTATATATTATATACCTTGTTTATAGTATGGGTAAACGTTATAATTAACAAGATTACATATAGTCAATCATCGTTATTTTACTAAATTAGTTAGAACATCAAAGCTATATAACTTACATGATGAATTCTGGCGATACTCATCTTCACTCTTTGAACGACCTACATAGAAAGAATCCGTTGTAATAAAGGAAATAAAAAAACGAATTTGTTGTAATGTCTAAAAGTACATATCATAAAATAGATATGTTATCAAGATGGGATCTCTCATCCAAATGCATACGATATTTACATGGTGCATATAATGAAAATGACAACTTGGATGAGTAAAGCGAGTTCTAAAGAATATCGTTGTGCTGAGAATAAATTACTGGTTTCAACGAAGTGACGAATTAACATATTGCTTCAAAATTAATGGCTATTTTGAGTTATGACATTAATGTTACTCGTATATTCAACACAGTATACGTATTACTCAATTCAGGTTAACTTTGAATGATATTTATTTGTCTGTACACGCGAAAGTTGTTATTATCGTCAGTTTTAATTGTTTTATTATCATTCCCCAAAATATAGAATTACGGTTAATGAAGTTACAAGACTTTTAAGGATACTTTAGCACTTTTTATACGGATATTTTAACGTCTATCTGTTTATATACTTATATACAAAGCACCACTAAAGCCAAAACCTTGGTTAAAGTCATTCTAATCGTTTAAATTTTACTCATGTGTAAAAGACGTGTCTCATGCATGGTTTGACTGTATATACAGCCCAAAGAAATTGACGCGAGTTACAAAACACAAGAAAGGCCAATAGTGCGCGTGCTGTATGTGCTATAGGGCTCATAAGTGATAGCTATCGCAACAAGTTTCGTACATGCTTTAACAAAAAGCCATTTTGAAAAAGTAATTTATAATTATATGCCCATTTCAAGTTATTGGGGTTCAACTTATTAAAAAAATCGGACAAGGTGCATGCATGTATGTCTGGATGATCAAAGCCAAGACTTCCAGGAAAACCTAGATATATAACCACCTGAAAATAGAACAAACTTCAACGCATCACAGTTTGTCCCATCTTTCATGCAAGTATCATACACAGAAGCCTGCAAATTGTATTCTTCTCCGCCCACACAGGCACCCAAAATTCAAAATTGTAACATGAATATAGCATAACACTATATTCACGGTGATCACTTGGTGTCATTAAAAAGGCCTCAATTCGTACTCTATTTTCTTACCCATGCTTCTCTTGTCGATAAACTGATACAATGGTAAAATAATTTTTGGCTTTGTGGTGCTTTGAATTAACGACAAACCTGTCTTCTTTGAACCTAAGTTAAATTTTGATTGATTGCTTATATATCCCAAAGATAAGCGTTTTTCAATCCAACTAGCTCTAGTGACAGGCCATGACGCACTACTGCACTGAGTTCTGTCAATACCTGCTAAGAAAGTTATATCACGAAAGATTTAACAATCGCATTTTAAAATTAACATTAGTTAATGCCATACACTGAAATATTAGTTACTGTATTTACGAACATTTTGTTTAGTTGCTGCTACGGTTTCTATCTATTATGCAATGTATTATATTTTTACATAATATATTTAATTGCGTATTATATAACACCTTATTAAATCATCGTTATTTAATTGGCTGATTATGATCACGTGGTATTGACTAAAAATTTCCATTTCATTCATCGTGGAATGGAAGGTCCACTGCACACCTCAGCGGTGAATTTTTGTACTAACTATTTGGTTCCGCGAATTGCACTAAAATCAGTCTTGTTTGTTGGACTATTTTGAGTATAATAATTATTTATTCTATAATTTTATATTAACTCAATAAACATTCAACAATGATTTATTTTAGTGTTATATGTAAAACAAACTCAGAGATCCAAAGGATATAGGGCAAAGTTTCTACTTTATACACAGTACATATAATTGTAGAAGAAGAATTCTACTTTTAGAATTCTACTGTAGAAGAATTTTAATTCTATCTTTTAATTTCAACAAAATTATTTGTATTTAAATTTCCAATACTTGCAATTACATTCATGCAGAGTAGGGTTTTACATGGAGTGTCGGAGTACTAAAGATGCGGAATGTTGAAAATGCAGAGTGTTTTCTTTTTGTTCATAAACGCAAAATATTAATAATGTATTAGTAATGGTGCGTGCAGTGAACGATTTAAACAATGAATGACAGAACAAGTAAAACTTAGTCCTGGCACACCGAAAATCAATTGAATTTTTATTCAAATTATTCACAAACAGACACACGTCTACCAACAGAGGCACTCTGACATTTGTTATATATAATTAATTGGTGTCGGTCTCGTGAGAACAACATTAGTGGGTATGTGCAAAAATGTTAAAACTGAATATGCGAGTTCAAGCTATACTATAGGTCTACTTGTTTACAAATATAGTCATATATACCCCGTTATGGTATGACATCCTATATGCCCCTAACATTAGGAGATAATTAATTTCAACGCACCTTTCTTGCTGCGGCTAGAATGAAGCAAGGTCTTCATAGATTTTGGTGAGCTAGCAGAATCCTGTCAGTAAGAATTACACACAGTAGTAAATAATGGAAATAGTTAGCATATGAATACGGGGTTTCATTAGTATAGGTAATCACGCGGGAAGGATTAATAATTAACACTGCGAGTGATTTTTGAAAAATGTGCAGAATTGGACGGCCAAAATTAGACGAGCAGCCGTATATACGCTGCCGTATATTTATTATGTAATATGCGAGCTGCCGTAATTACAGCTCGGTCAAAATTGGACGAGCTGCCGTATATTTATTATATACTTGACAAAATTATAGCTATATCCCTCCCGGTATTGATGTAATATTTCAAATCCGACTAGGAGCACTGGACTAGATTTCAAGTCCGCGCAGTTTGATCAAGCCCGAGGGCAGAGGCGAAGGCGAGGACTGGAGCAAAATGTGAGGACTTGAAATCTAGTCCAGTACTCATAGTCAGATTTGAAATGACATCTCATACGAATAAATCACTACTTAAAGTGAGGTGAATTAATTTTGATCCAGTCCAAGGACTGAATTAATTTTGATCCAGTCCTAGGACTGGATCAATATAATTTACTCATGAATTATTAAAGAGTTTAAGATGTCACGTGAATGTACAGAACACATGTACATTTTCACACATTTGTATGCACTTCACAAGATTTCCATGTTTCATTTTGGTGCGGGTAATTCTAGGATCAATATAACATTTATGCTGAGAGGTCAAATCGACGATCTTTTATATGCAACATAACGACTCTTGGAGGTTCTTCAGCTAGGTTCAAAATTTATCAAGTAAAAGATTAAGTAAGCACTCACTTTTCAAATTTGGTAACACATTTATACCTAGTTAATACGGATTAGGGTAGAGCTTACTATTCTAATACTGGGCATGAAATTATAAATGTCAGGATCAGACGTTTCTACGTAAAAATATATACGACAGTTCAGATTGCAATTAGAAGTTTACTGTGTGTATTAGCTAGAGCAAAAATACAACTTACTTCTTTCATAATAAGCGCAAACGCAGGTCTGAGTGGAGGAGTGGGACGCAAGTGAGTTGAATCCCATTTCCGTTCCGTGTGAAGGTACTGTGACGGGATGTCACGGTAATTTGCGTCGGTGAGAGCTGCTACTGAGCGTGGCAAAGACGTTCCATGAGTTACACTCGTTTCGGTTCTTGGTAACGTGTGAGACTATGGAAGGGAAACAAACAATACATTAGATAAAAAATAAACATGACTCATCATCGCGAACATGCAAAATTCTAGGAATTCCAGAAATTTCCCCAATAGTCTGTATGCATGTAATAAAAACTGATCAAGTGAGGTATTTTAAGATCAGATTTTGTGGGATTTTAATAATAATAAAAAAAAATTATATCTGCAACAACTTTTACAAAGTTTTAAACCACTGACCAAATATAGAGTTGTGACATCAACGATGCAATATGAGCAAAAATTATTGACGTCAAAGGGTGCAATATGAAACGATTATCGATTATTTCACGGGGCTGTTCATATCAGCCGAGCCGGGATGAATCGTGTCGCGACAATTTACTTTGAACTTGATACTATTACTGGAATCAAACTAAGCTAACTGAACTTTGAAATGTCATTTTGGATGTTTAGTAAAGCCGCGATAAGAGCTTTATTACACGAATCATGGCTCATATTACACGAATCATATGATCAGTCCCTAATAAAATGTGGCATTACGAATAAAGAAAAAGGAAGGTGTGGACGTCTTCTGTACATATTTTAAATATAAAAATAAAACAAATGTTGAATTTGGTTTCCACAATATATGAAGAATTTGTCCGTCTCAGCTGATAAGTAATACAAACTTTGGCTTTGATAGTTCTTCATTTCAAGCTCAACCTCTTTCAGTATAATTGTTCATTAACGTTGTATTTGGGGAGTGTGAGGATATCCGTCAACACAGCTAAATATCGCCAACTTAAAAATGCTTAATGCAGTTATAGTTAGGGCTATCAGGGTTGATATAATATTAGATTTGGTATTTTGGTTAGAGTCACTAGGCACATCGAGCACTTCTTCCTGTACTGCCCACATAAATAGTGCCTTAGGCATATCTTATATAGGTACTGTACAGTTCCTTTTCATCTTTGAAACAGAATCCAATACATTTAACTTAATAAAAAATAATAACAAACGAAATTAAATTAATTTTTGTATACTACCTGCACTATTTTCACTGGTACATGTTCACTTTTCATAAAAGCGTCAGCAGGTTTAATGTTTTCCTTTTGGGCTGAAGAGAGGGGCTCTTTGCTTGGAAATCGTTCTGGCGAGCCGTTACTATGAGGACTGCTAACTAATGGACTATGTGGTCCGCTGGCCAAAGATTCCAACCATGCCGATTTTTCTTTCTCGCTGTTTGCAGATACAACAAGCGTCTGGTCGTTTGCTATTAGAATAAATATCATATTGGCTGTTAGGAACGATTTGCGACTTCAACGATGCAATGAAGATACTATTCATTCAATGTGGTAACACGAAGAAATAAGAAATATCCTTTCCTTGGCCGTTTTCAGGCGGAAATGTTAAAATAACGACTATAAATAAAAGTGCTACAGTTGTAAAATATGATCAGATATATTTTTTCTGAATTTTTAACACTCTTATGGTTCGCTATGCTTAGACTAGAGATTCAATTCAAGAAAGTTCGGAAGGTGCGAAATATTAATAACATTCCAACGGTCGGGTCCCGACCATTGGAATGTAGGCCTGCGCAGAACGTATGCGCAGAACGAACTTTACATGGTCTTTAAGACTTGTTTCCCGATTAGATTTAACTCTCAATTTGGCACAAAGATGCCCGCGGTTTTATTGCGTTTAAATTTCCAAGAGATTGCATGGTTGCAACTCACCTATTTATTTTTTAGACATTATAGTACACATCGTGACAGTTGCCGGCAAAATAGTGACTTCGAGTTAAGGTTTAGGATGGTAAGAATTAAGTATTCATCGATTTAAGTACAAAGTATATAGGTATATTATATAGGATTTGCGCAACTGTGCCAGTTTTACGTATCGATGCAGCCTAAAAGTGAAATTTTCTGTATGCATTCCTAAACAAAATACTTATACTAGTATAAAAAGCATGTTACTCACTCTCAATTTCTAGCGCATTTAAGATTCCTTCGGTATCTTCCAAACTCTTTATTTTAATATCTGTGACGTTGTAGCTTGTCTGGAAAAATTAGAATATGAACCTCTCATTATACAGTATGTTCACAAATCGGAATGATCATATTTTCCAAGCAGGAGGCTGGGAATGTATATCACAGTTTGGTTTACTAGGGTGTGCCAGAATACTAAAGGAACTTTTGAATGTTCTCGTGCTTAAATATTAATTTTATGGAATTATTCCCCCCTCAAAAAAAAAAGAGGCAATAAAGATCAGATCTTCAACTGTCAAATGATTCCTTTCTCTATGTTGCATTTATGATGAATATCAATGCTCAGCATTGTGCACGTACGAGACAACACAAAACGACATTTCTTCAATTAACATAAAAAACTACAAAGGTACATAATAAATTACGGCTCTGGATTATTCTTAGATGCCTATTTGGATATGCCTTTGTAATTTTATATCTTAGATTCATTAACTCTGAAGACGTTCTGAGTAAAGGACGAAAAGTTACGTGCATATGCTGGGCATTGACATTCATTGTACGATTCACTGTACAATTTCCGTCTGGTCCCTTGCAACTTTTCTGTATCATAAAGAACAAAAATACAATCCGATTTTGGGAATCGACGACTATTGCTCGAATTTCTATATTAATAATAATAATAATTTATTAATTTATATTGCGCAAATATCAACTGAATTGTTTTCAATTGCGCATTACAATCGAATGATGTTACAATATGATAAGGTTAATTAACCTATTTTACATAAGATTCGCTATTTACAATAACTCTTGAGTAGTTAATAAATACTAATCCAAATGTGCTATTTATGATGTGGAAACACTGTAGATGCACGCATGAACGTGTTACCTCAAAACAATATCCGCTTATGTCTTCACTAACAGACAGCAGGACGAGCACGTCGGGAAACAGTAGGAATTGTCTTTCTTTCACCTCCTAAAAAAGACATTAGTTTCATGTTTGAATACCGTGTAGGTACTATAACCATATGATTTCCTAGTCTTTCAAGTGTTTTCTTGTCTAAAATGTGAAATTATGTTTACTCAGTATAACCATGCATAATAAAATAAATGGATAGGACTCTAGCTGACGTAAGCAAAAACAACCTAGTTGCAATCTGTGACGTCACGCGTATTGCAAAGTTCTCGGCATTTTTGTTGTTTCGCTATACTTTCCGCTTTAAAAGAGTAATATTGAAGCACATACTGGTCCAATTGTTTTAAAAACATGCCTAAGCCACGACAAAGTATTCAAGGTAAATGTTTTTCGTCTTTGTTTTGTATTTTTTTACATTTGTAGCTACGAAATTGGCGTCCCAAATTTTAACGAAATTTGGGATGCCCTTTTCACTGTTTAGTGCTTGAAATATTTGCTAAAATTGACTGGGAATACTTAGAGATTTCATCGTAGAATGGCGTAGTTATATTCATTTGCTCTTTGACTAAAATGTTTAGCTGTATTATTGCTAAACTTGCCGTTTTTGAGAATTTGGTTTGCAACTAGGTTTCAACATCCAATCACGCCATCAGCCCATTGAAAACATTAGGTCACGTCAGCTAGTTTCCTATCCATTTATTTTATTATCCATGGTATAACACAGCGTATATCAAATGCATGCACGCACATGCATGCATGCATGCATGCATGCACAGGTCCTGTGCTCAATTTTTATTTACGTACACAATGTTCACTATTCTTATGTATACGCATCCGTAAACCTATTTCTATAAAAGATACATAATAGTTTTTAATTTAGTTGTTCCTATAATGCATACATGCAGTTCCTCTGACAAGAAAGGCGTTCTAAATGTACGGTGTCATGCATAAATATACCAACTATTTTCTGTTTAAAAATGAAATATCAACAAACATACTTCGTTTTCGCCATGAATGAGTAGTGAGGACATGTACACCAGTTCTCCCAGTTTTTGCATTTCCTAAAAAGAACAAGATTACATATAGGATTTAACGTTTGTGAGTTTACGCCAACCAGGTTTATATACACGCGGGAGTCCTCGATTGAAATGTGAATTTCAAAGAGAACAATACAAGAAAACAGTAAAAAGATTGAGATGCAATAGAAAACCAACACTTATTTTTGAATAAACCAAAAAATTGAAGCACATTAAAAAAGGCCCATCAAACCAAAGTACCTACTACTTTTAATGCACCAAATTGAATTCATTTACAAAGTCAGAATATGCATGCACTACAGTTTTACTTTGAGCTTGCAACAACTTGCTCATTTCTGTTTGCATTACTGTACGAGTATAAAGGTCGTTGACACGACCAAGCAGATTTTACCGCTCCAAAAAATCGGCGCATGCATGTGAACACCATGAAAGCGACCTCCTGACACTGGATTCATTCAAAATCGGATTGAAATACAACCTGTTATATTTCCATCCAACAAGATGAAAAGAAGCCGACTATCCCCAGACCTCTCAGATCAGATCGTCTGAACAGGCATCCAGATACAACTGGATCCGAGAAATCGATTCGATTTTGTAAAAAAGTTGATGTGATCTCGAAACGAGTTTATCGACTCAATAAAATTCAGATTCAGATGCGATACAACACAGGTCGACGTGAGAAGGCATTGTTCTAACAAAGATGCAGGAACATATCACACCTCTTTCTCCCATCCTTCAATTGTGCCAGTCAATATTTCATGTTCTGTTTCTTTTCTTCGCCTCATTTCACGGCAGCTTGTCTAAAATATACAAGGTTCCTATAATATACTGTAGTGTCCGCAAAGAAGGCGCAAGTATATGACATTTTCAAACTGGAACTGTTATGGAAGCGTCCTTCAGGTCGACTTTTACCAGAAAATCCCCCACCCTTTTGGTACTGGCACATCTTCTCAGACTTACCCCAATATTTTGAAATACGGCAATCGCTTTTTTCGTATCAAATTCGTCCGCATGGCCATCCTAAATATAAACCAAAGTGAGTAACATTGTTATATGCAAGAAGCGATGTCGACGTTTGGCAATACGCGTATATATATCATGGTTTCTCATGGATAATAGGGTGGTATAGAAATTTGGCAAATTTCGAAGATTTTCACAATGAAATTTTTAAACAAATCCTTTGTTATAGGTTTATTAATATATAAATATTATCCGGTTGAAATACTGAAGCCTTTGTGGCGGCAGCCAGTGAATGATGATCTTTACAAGATAATAGTATACATTCACAGTTAATCTATAACAGTAATTTCCAAATTAAAGAAGAAAGCCAACGGTTGACTTCATTTATTTTTTCCGTTTTTAACAAAAAAATTTAAAAAATTGAAATAAACAATGATTGTGTTGCCATGCATGGCTAACATGACGCGAACAACGCGAGCCTGCGTTCAGTGTTGGCGTAATTTAGGATACTTCATGGTAAAACAATGTTTCGGAAAATAAAGGCGAGGGGTTGTTGCATGCATTCATTTCTAGTTACTGGCATATAAAATGTCGAAAAAAATTTGAAAAGCGAGGCGCTAGCCTAGATTTCTCCGATACTTTAAGGTGTTGTATACGCTGGTAACATACAGCTTTCGAGTTATATTATACTTCTCAAACGAACTTGTATATTTAAGATAAATTCGATTATGGGCGTTTATGACCGTTGTATCAAGACAACGATATGGTCCTGGTTTTCTTTGTGTTTTGCTCACGAATTATATTAATAAGTTTGAGAATATTATTGGATGATTATGGTTACAAGCTAATTTCAAACTACAATCATAGACAAATTTGCTCGGACAAACATGGCAAATAAATTATTTTTTGAAACGTTTTCATATATACTTCATAAAGTCCCCCACCCCTGAAACAATGTTGATGAACACTTCAGTCATTATGGCAACTATATTACGGTATCTGTACTAACAACATTGTAACGGGGGAGCGGGGAATACGGCTGAATATGCGTATAAATATTTGATTGCCTTAAACTTCAACCGTATTTAATCAGCGTCCGCATGTTATTTGTCTAGGATTGTATAGCGTTCAGACAATATCCTGAAAGTAAATCTTCGTTGCAGTTTTATATATAATTTAAAGAACGAAGGCTCATTCTTCGCAACTAAAACTAAATTTGGAAATGTTTTACACTAGACAATAACCTTTTTTGTTTTTCTTGCGTGCACATGCATGCTTTAATAGCTCAGGACAAGCTTCGGATGCATGGACAGATTATTCTCGTAGTGTGACGTGTACCATGCACTTCAGCAAATGGAATTCAATGACAATCTGCATGAAGTAAATTTTGCTAAGTGATTCTAGGACTCACTTTCGCCTGCAAAAGGAATTTAGCTCATTTCATGCATTTCAAATTATAGTGCGTGTTCCTACATAAAACTCACCTCCAAATGCCGTTCAAGTTCTTTCAGAAGTGTTGGGTATTTATCCAGCCGTCTAAATAACTAAATATAAAAACATTTCATTAACAACAACAATATTCGTGTTGTTATTAATTCTAATGTATGTCCCTGTGTTCGTCTTGTTAAGCTTCATTGTAAGCTAATTTCCACTCAGGAAAATGTTCCACAAGAGCGGACGGCGTTGGAGCTAACGACTTTAGCACTATGTAACTTTCCTTCCGTTCCTATTCTGTGGAGGGTTTTTCTGGGTGTAAATTGGCCTTTTATGATGCATGTGAATGAATGTGAACGAGTGGATGAGTCATGAATGTTCAGATGAGGGTACATATAAACTCAGATCATTCACAACTCATCTACTCGTTCACATGCATCAGAAGAGGAAAATCGCACTAGAAATCGCAGTAAAAATTGCAAGTGTAAACGGGCCAGTAGGAATCAAACCAGCGGCCCTACTGGACTCCATATCTCAGTTGGTTAGACCCACTGAGCTGTATAATAACTGGAGGACCTGCTCCTATCTCTCGTCAGTCAAAAAAGTGTCGCCAAAAACATGGCGGATTTTGACGCCATATGACGCCATTTCCATGGCAACTGGTCCGAAAACCTCATGGTAGTTACCACTGACCAGGCTCAATTCTGAGCCCACGGCAGTTTTCACCCCCCCCCCTGGTTTTTTTGCAAAAGATTTGGTTTTTGCAGATAAATATTTATAGTTCTCGTTGTTTTAAATCTTTTGCATAAATTTTGAGATATATTTACTACCTTTGACCATTTGGTTAAAGGTATGCAAGTCGTACGTGTTATTCTCGCCCGCGAAAGCCAAACAAAACCTCGAGAAATGTGGGAAAAGAGTATTAATGACGATACTTGAGTCGGGTAAAAGGTAGGAGATGTCTAGTCAATTTTACTCATTCTTTATCTTATTTGACATGAAATTGGTAAGCCTAACGATGAAATATACTTCATTTGTTAAGAAAACAAGCTTTCAGCTTTCTACAGTCCAAATTTCATATTGTAAGGTGTAAAATTTCCCATTATTTTAACAAGCTGTATTCACAAATATTTTATAGTTCTAGGTTGACTGCAGAGACCTGAGGTCTCGTTTTATTACTTTTATAAACATACACTTGATGAAACTATGTGTTTGTAGGGTTTGTGTTTAATATGCACCAACTTTTGTATAAGTTACTGGGGTACTGGAAGCTAGCTTATCCAGGAAGGTAGTTTCTGTCTACCTATAAAATACTGATTGGGGACACTTTTTGTGTCATTATACACCTGATTATAAACTCCTTAAGCTTTAAGCACCAGTGCTCTCCCCTCGACAAGTAAAATTGTTTGTTTATCAATTTATATAAAATAGTGTGCACTAGTCTAAGGTACAATGCAACTTTTAAAACAGTTTAATGAAAGCATTCCTAACTATAAGCAGCATTGTATGCAGACCTTTAAGATAGGAATAAACCTGCAGCCATCAATGATTCTGATGCAGTGTTCAAACCAATTTATACTGATCAGCTACTGTGTCGAGCTGTAATTGCAAATTAATTCATGTAAATATCATAAGGTGAAGCCTGTAGTAAGGTGCAAGGGTAACTGTCAGGATTTTGGACATCACACTCAACAGATTGTTAAATATCAAAGGTAGCGTCACTAGACGAATATTTTAAGTGTCAATTTTATACATATTTAGACCTAACCAACCTAAAAAATATAGTTGCATCTTTTGCAGCCGCTTTAACCAGGTCTAAAAATGTACACAATTTACCCTCAAATTTTCATCGATCTACAAAAATCCTTCAACATTTATTGATGTACATCAGCATTGCCATGTAAAACCCTTTTCTCACCAAACATGCACTTACTGCATGTAATAGTTGGTGCATGGTCAACATAAGGAATACTTGCATAAGAATAGACATTACCTCTCAATTCTATATTTTTCTCATACAGAATACATGGTCTGCTTCATTAAATTAATATGTAGTTTTTAGATAATATTTAAACTGCTTTATATTTATTTAGACCAAGAGAGGTATTGTCAGTGGCAAATTTGAGGAATCTGATGCATTGGTGGAATATTGCATGCATGTGCATGGTCATGAAATTATACTTCAATGCTGCAATCCTCAAGGTCTGAAAATTGGAGGTTTTGTACCAACCTCTGCTAATCAGCAGGGATCGATCAAAAGATGTGCTTAAATTAAGTAACACTACTAGTTTTGTAAAGAAAATGAAACACTCTTGATGACATATACTAGATTTGTTGAAATAGTTGAACTGAGGCAATGATAGCAATTCAGGCATTTTGGGGGAACATTCTTAAAAATGTACTTGTTTTTAAAAAGTAAATCTATATTTGACCCATAATTTTCTCAGAACCAATCCAATATTCATCACTACATTAAACATATTTTCAGAGGTCAAGTATTACTAACAGTGACTTGAGCTCTAGGTGTGGAAATAGAAATCACAAAATGTTAATAATAAATGAAAATTTTAATAAATTTTATATATTTACATAATTTACATAATACGTACTGTACTGTAATTTAGTATTTATGACAACAAGTATTTATAATCATTGAAAATTGTATTGACAGAATTTAATTACATTAATAAGGGGGCATTCATTATTGATGTGGGGGGGGGGATGGGTGAGAAACTGGGGGGACCTGAGATTTTCCCAGATGAAAAGGGGGACTGCAATTCTGGTATTAAAACCAAATCCTGGGGGTACCTGACATTGAAGGAAGACACATCTACACATTTCAAAATTCATGATGAGGGTAAAAACAAAAAGAAATCAGATTTACATACACTTCATCTTAATTTATTTATGAAGTTATCAAATACATCATTTCTGAAGTTATTCAAAACACTCACAGTACATGTTTCATCACATCTATTAAAACACTTGGGTATCACCTCGTGTTATATTAATCTGATAAAAGGTTGCTGTTGGTACTTTGAATATATTTTAATACAATATAATAACTAACTTTCTTTTCTGCTCTCTCAGTCCCTGCTATACAATTGTACAAACATGTACATACTACATTTAGACACAAAGATGTACATTTAGATTTAATGTACTGTAGTGTTAAAAAAATAAATGTGACTGTGTGTAGTACTCTTTATTGTCAATAAAAAAGAGTTGTGCCATAACTTCAATTTGTTCTTCTCCATTTTGGCATCCTGTGCCATCACTTCTGGTACCTATATTAATTAAACAGATCATTATTATACCACAATCATGTTATTACACATCTTTAGTAATTAACAAAAATATAATATGTATTGCATATATGTTAACCCTTTAAGTGGCAATGCACCCTAATGTACTTTAGGGGAGAACACTGCCACTCAGTGGGTTAATCAGACAATCTTCTGCATGGTTATGCATGACTATTTTACTCGTCACTTGGAGCTAGTGCTCATGGCACTCAATGAAATATAAATCAAACTATCTACATACCCAATGTGCCCAACTTTAGTTAATCTTACTCTGTCTAACACCAGATTATTTTACACGATCTGTCTAATGCCAGACAATTTTACTTGTCAAGGGGACAGCACTGCATGGTGCTCCATGGGTTAAGGCAAAAAAGTTTAAAGAACTACGATATCCAATAACATAAAGTGCATGGTCATATGGATCTGGCAACCTAAATCCCCCCTCCCACAATAAGTGGCCACCACTGCTGCACAACCCCATATATAAACACTGCTACAAAAAGCCTGGCAAAAGTAGGACTTGCTTGTCCAAGCTCAGTGAGACTTGTTCAATGTGGGGGAATGCAATGCAGCCTTGTTCACAGGACATGATTCATGTTAAATCTAACTCAAAAGATAGTTTCAGTTATACCATATCTTATCTCTAAAACACATCATAGTCAAGCAATCATGCTTATCCAACTTTTGCTAACTGCTTTGAACACTCTCAGGTCCTGGGTATTTTGTTCCCTCTGTCCCACACTCTCTGTCTTTGTGCTTATCTATATATCAATCCTGATTCACACCATATATAATCTGTACGACCGTGTGAGCATGTGAACAACCACAATTATTATAAATTATTAAAAACTGGCAATAAAAAACACAAAACAACATAATTTCATGTCCACAATTTTCAACGATTATAAACAGGATTTATATGTCCGTACCCCGGTTCATGTGTCTGCTATTGAAATATTTGCTGTATATATATATAGTAGCATGAGTTTTTGACTTATATTATAGTCATTTGACTCATTTTCGAGAGTCATTTTATATCTAGCAACTAGCAAGGTTCTACAAACAGTACAAAGTAAAAATAGTTTCACGAATCTTACCTTGAAAAAATAGTCAATCTTTCTTGATAGTGAATTGTTGCATCAACAAACGAAACAAAATGGCACTTTTCTTCCACGTAGTAAAACAAGTAAAGTGCGAGGGAAAGATTTTCTAGCTCAAAAACAACCGAAAACCTCTAAATTCTGAAATAGTGAAATATTTGTGTAAAAACAGGGGGGTGCAGGACTTTGTTTAGTGCTTCGGATCGCGGTTGGTCAGTGGCAATTACCATGGAGACTTCGGACAAGTTGTCATGGAAATGGCGTAAGCGCCGCCATGTTTTTGGCGACACTCTTTCATGCCGAGCAGGTCCTCCAGTAATATAGTATAGCTCAGTGGTTAGACCGCTGCACCGTTTTGCTGGGCCGATTCCTGCCAGAGGGTCTAAAAGTTGCATGTTTCGCAACTGCTCTTGCTGCATGCTGCTGTTATACAGGTATGAAAATTGCATTGTATATATACAATTTCCGTTCACAATTTCCATCTATACAAATTAAACCCTTCAATTGAAAGGCCCATTTCTACTCAAGAAAAATTTCCACGGAGAAAATTTTCCGAAAATATCAAAAAAAAATTTCCGACGGAAGATTTGTGTCGGTCAATCAAATTTTACAAAATTTTCTTTCTGCGCAAAATTTTCATGAGTGGAAATGGGCATTTAGTTCTGTCGAGCCAGATATATGGCCAGAATCTTGATACTTATCCATAACTTAAACTTTATCCTTATGGTTAAACATGACTTTAGAAGTAAATTCCTGAACAGGCAAGTGCACGTACCGTACTTAAACTGGTTGTCAAGGTTAGAACACCTGGCGCGTCAGCTCCTTGTTTTTCCATGAAATCAGACAGTTCATCTCTGAAAAATAAATTACATTTATTACGCGTTACTTGTATACAATATCCGTTTTTAGCATATACTCGGCAGATGGATAATGCTTTTCATTCACGCAATTTGATTGGTTGCTCAGCTCTGGATATTCTTGCACTATTCACCTCCGGACAAAAACAAAATGGCTTCCCATTTCGTTCCGGTTACAGACGAGCAAATTTCTGTATACTAAACGAAGCTGTGGTTTCGCTAACAAGAAGAAAGTCACAAAGGTTTGTTTAACTGTACATGCAGTACTGAACAGAACAATTTGAATAGAATAACTATAATAGCCGCGACACCTATAATAAAGTACATCTATAAGTATAACCGTAGCTGTCCGATGTACAGTGTTGAGGTATTCATTAAAGCTATTTCTAATGAATAATATTACTAAAAGCGTGTGAATTCTGTTTTGTTAACAACTATTATGGAAGCTTAAATTGTTTTAAAAATATTTTCGTCGGTTGTTTTTTGGTCATCTTTGTTTTGTTATGGTATATGCTAAAACAAATGAAATCTTAAATTTTCTTCGGTATTTTTTTTTAAATTTCCAAACCAGTTTATTTTTCAATAATCTGAAAAATATGCGAATATGGCATTAGGTTATCGGGCCTATCGGCGCAGAGTTCGTTGTTTATATAAAATTTCCATATTGTGAAATTTTATCTGTTGTTGAGTTCAATATGCGTTCAATATACAAATTTCTATAAAAATTGAGCGAAGCAAACCAATGCACTATATCATGGGAAAAATAGTGAAATATTGTCCAAGTACCACGAGACTTTCTCTGATTATTATCCGGAATCCATGAGTTACCACAAATTGTTACAGGCCTTAAAATATCGGTCGGTCACGGACATTGCCCGATCCATTCATCAAATTGTCCGAAGTACAGAGGAAACCACCGGACATTCTGTCCGACCTAAGTAAAACTGAGGTTTATTGTTTGTCCGACCCGAGTGTATTGGTGTCGAACCGAACTGTAGCTTTGTCTGACGCTTTCTCCACGCACGTAAATCAAAATGTACCCTAGTCCAGAACCACAGTTTGTATAAAAATGAACCAGAAATGTTGCGGGGCAGCGAGTTAAATGGTGAGGTGGAAAACGGGCTTAAGTTATCGAAGTCGTACTGCTATCATTGGCAAGCAAGTTATTTTTGGCTTGGAAATAAGTATGAATGACACAATTATTTAATATCTTCACAACATTTAGTTCAGAATGAATACATTATGTTGATATTAATTCGCGTCATTCAGCCTCATTTCCGACCCAAACTGAACTGAAGTCATCGGACATATGTCCGACCCAAACTCAAATTCATCGGACATTTTGTCAGACGGCCCTGTAAAAGATTTTTTAAGGCCCGATTGTTGCCACATGTCATGTGGTTCACCGTTCATGTCATTCATGTCATGTGGTCGCCCACTCGTTCACGTTTTATCCATATATTACACACATAACCATTCTATTACCTATACTAAACGTACCCGTATTTTGTAAGAACTTCAACAGCCCGAGGATGATTAGCACAATATTTTATGTAAATATCTTTCATCTACAAAACAAAATTTAGAATTATTAATACGATATTCAAGGGATAAGTCAACGTTGAGCATAAGCAGATATACCATCTTGTCTTCATGACATGCAGCTCGCGTGATAGCCGATATGCACTTAGACTTGCTCCAAGTCTCTATTTCATTGTCATATCGATCCACTATAGTGTATATTACATGACGTAGCACGGAGAGGCGAAGCGAGAAAGACAGACTTGTCAACTTCGGAAAATCTCGGTTCAAAACTGAACCAAAAATGCAAGACTTGTTTAATTGTTTTCCTTCAATTTCTTTCTGTATTATTTACTGTAATGGAACTCGTGTTATTTACACTATGCTAGATCAATACATATAAACACGGACAGAAAACAATTAAAGCAAGTCTTGCATTTTCGGTTCAGTTTTGAACCGAGATTTTCCGAAGTTGACAAGTCCCTCTTTCTCGCTCCGCCTCTCCGTGCTACGTCATGTAATGTACACTATAGTGGATCGATACTATATGACAATGAAAGAGAGACTTGGAGCAAGTCTAATGTGCACTAGACGAATTTGTTCGTGCGAAGCGGCTTTTTCCTTTGTAAATAACAAATTAAAGTCGTAAACGTAGTAAGAACGTTGTGAGCAAATAGTTAGTAATCCAAGGGAAGAACCAATTATTGGCCATGCCGAGACTGGGATTGATCATATATTAAAGGAAAATGGCGGTAAAAAAATATAATTTATATTATGTTCTTTTTAGCTGTGGTGTTTGATTCCCTTCTCTTTACTTAGATTAGTTTAACATGCAAGTTGTCCATTGGTGTTAGAGATATTCCGACCAAGAAACGGCATAACGTCGGCCCCATCTTGTTTCATACTTGACATAAATAATTGGGGTTTTGATGAGGTAACAACCAGTGTGAACCTGTTAAACTTACTACGTGGGTGGATGCATTTGAAAGAAATTTTCTTTAGTATGTTGAGATCCAATTGGGATGGGAAACAGGCCGCCTACGAAATCGAGTTTGAGGCTCATAATGAAATATGCAGGTTGACATAATAAAAAAATTATCCTTATTCCAGTTGTGACGTCATGTATATTGAACCAATAGCCATGATGGCGCACTGCTTTTGGTCGATATATTACGAAAAGCAAAAACAATACGGAAAAATATTGTAACATACTTTAGGTGCAGCTTGTAAAAACACGGCTCCCATTCTTTGTTGCGTCAACGGTTGTCTACAGAAAAAAAATAATAAATATTCTGACTCATTATATTAGTCTCGTTTTTACTGTGGTGTTTCATTTACTTGCCCAGTCTCGATCTACGTCCATGAGCAGTTCTGCGAATCAGTCAGAAATCTTTCATTAAATTTTATTTGATTTTTCTGAATTTCATTGGAAAAATATTTCTACGGATATTGAAATGTTATGGTTCCCGAAACAATCGCAGTTAATTTAACCCACCGAGCAGTTGAAACTCAACTCGCAAGTTTTTGTTTTATACTTTTCGTTATATTCGATTATATGTTAATAAAAAAATCAAAGGTTGGATCGATTCAATTGATACATTTTAGTAGCAGGAAGTACAGCAGGAAGGGCTCTTGAAATTTCCGTGCCCTTGTCAATTTTAAGTTTGTTATCCACTTTGCTCTTGTAATAAGCATGCTCTGAGCGACACTGGTTATGATCAAGTGTACATACTCTGAAACGTCCTTTAACTGCTCATAAAGCATTTCTTGAAAATTGACGATTCCTTCAAAATTTCCACACAAAATTTTGCTTTCTTCCGATGGAATTCTATTAATGGAAGTAAAATAGAAGAACTGTAATACGCAGTTAAGTTATACATTAATTTTATTAAGGAGCTGCACCTAAAATATTCACTTGGACTGGTAATCAAAATTTTAATATATTAGTTCAGTTGGTTCGTTAGATAGTATTATTGAAATACAAAGCATTGACGTTTTTCGACCGAAAATTACAGTACGACTTACACTGTAGAGTCTTGAAGAGGTTTCAGATAATTTCTTAATAAAGTCTAAAACAAAAGAAAGTATTTAGGAACAGACATTCTTGATCATGTCTCGCTTCTCACAACGTTCTAGGATTTACGCATGCATTCCGATTGGCGAAATGAAATTCTTAGAGCTGGGGAGCAATTTTAACAATGCGAAATGGTTCTTTATAATTGTTATATAAAGCATGCAAATTGAATGACAGGATAGGCAAAAGGTTCCCTAAAATATATATACATGCATGAACGTAAAAAATAATCTGGTGCCAGAGATTTTTCCACGCTCACAAAAACGCTCGCGTCAAATAGCGATGGAACAATACAACGTCACACAACACAACACAACACAACACAACACAACACAACACAACACAACACAACACAACACAACACAACACACCACACCACCACCACACACCTCCACACTGCACCACACCATACCACACACCACAAGACAACACAACACAACACAACACAACACAACACAACACAACACAACACAACACAACACAACACAACAAGCAACAAAACACAACACAACACCAAACAGTACCAATTTAATTTAAATATTAGAACTACCTACCTGTAGTTCTTCAACATACGCCTTTTCAGTATCCAGAATATTTTGAAGTACCTAGAACACAAACCACATTAAATCACAACCCAAACAAAGCTTTACAAAACACGATAATATACTATGTTACAATATCGATGTGGAACTTCGGTGTCGCAGCTGTCAGATCGTGAGTTCGATTGTCGCTGTGGAATCATGACACTCAGTGGCGCCGCCAGCTCGATAATTGGGGGGGGGGGCGAATATTCATATCTTCGTGTTCTGCATTATTAACTTCTTTTGAAATCGATAGTTTTTATGGTCTGTGAACACAAATATATGAATATTCGCCCCCCCCCCTCCCCAATTATCGAGCTTGGGGCGCCACTGTGATACTTATACATGAAAAGGGTCAGGCAACGCTCTACAGAAACGGGTACTCCGGTTTCTCCTATACTGGGAATGTTGACAGGGCGGGTTGGGGGTAAACCCAAAAATAACCCTTCTGTCGTAGTTGCGCTCTGTGATCAGACATGAGTCATGAGGTGGCAGTCAGAGGTCTGGCGTATGTACTGGAAAGAATGAGTGTAAGGATGTCAAATTTCAAATTTCGAAAAAACACAAGAGTAAACAAAATGAACAAGAAATAAACAGGAACAGGAATAGTGGCGTCAGCAGCCGTTTTCATACACCCAGAATGACAATCGTAAACGACTAGTCATATCGTGTAAATGCGTCTTAAAAGTCTTCGACTCGATGAATTTGTAATTCAGCTCTATTCTCAGCTGCAAATAAGGATGATTATCACACCCCGACATACTTATTTATTTATGTTAATGAATCACACTATAAAATGAATACAATCGACAAAATAGTGTTGTATAGGCGCCAAAATAGTGCTGTTGACTTGTTGTTTTTCTTGTTGCATGCAATTGTTGACTGCAGGTTTCGTTGTATTTATAGACATATACAGAGTTATTGTTGTAGTAGTTGTTTGTGGGTGTAGGTGTTGCTTGTAAGTAAGTATAAGGAAGCAAGTAAGTAAGTAAATAAATAAATGACCCCGTTTTTCCACTAGGCGAATTTGTTCGCGCGAAGCGACTTCTTCCTTTGTCGGCATCAATTATCACGTCAGCAAAAGCGATGCGGACAAATTAAAGAAAAAGTGGCTTCGCGGGAACAAATTCGTCTAATGGAAAACCGGCTTAACTAAGTGGGGGTGTCTTAATGATCCTTACTTGCAGTTGAGAGTTAAGATGAATTGCGAAGGACGCAGCTCAATCTGATCGAATCGAAGGCTTTTTAAGGGCGCCTCCTGAAGCCACCTTATGACGCAGGTCCGACCACGGAGCACAGCCATGATGGAAGGGTCGGTTTATAGGACTTATCCCAAACACTCCTGTCAACATTTCCTGAGAGAGGAAACCGGAGTACTGGAGAAAACCCACGATTTCGGTAGAACGATGACTGCCTCTTTTCACATAAGTCTCGTCTTTCACATGAGGCACATGCTCTGAAAATTGTGCCAACGAAGCTCGTAATCGTGCGCCTGGCTGGTTTCGAAGGGGAAATGGGGAGGGGTCCTGGTCTAGGACGTTCCAAATTATTTGCTTTTTCGAAAACACTCCAAACTACAGTAAAATGAAATGAAATTTACCACTTGGCCCATGCCCTTTTTATATTTTAAGATATTTTTCCTTGTTTAAACTATACCAAGCATGAAAGTATATCTAAAGAACAAGCGAGAATTCTGTGCAGAACTATGCTAGGTATTTCGCATTCTCGGGCCCTCAACAAATGGCTGTCGTTCAGCAATTTTCTGTCGTTTATACTTTATACCTGAACTGTCTTTAAACAGATATAACAGATACTACACAACTTCAGTAATTGCAGTTTCGTGACTTCATATCTATACTAGTATTATATTTATCTACATTCACAGGAAAATAAAATATATTTCAAACATTAAACAGGTACAAAACAACTAAATAAGCCCTCTGGTTCTTTATACAATTGCTTGTGAAAAAAAAAGATTTTTTTTGTTTTCGTATCCGACAGGACTGTCAAGAAGGGTAGGCTTGAGGTCTTCGTGCATGTTTCTGTCTATTAATGTTCAAACAGATATTCAATACAAGGATACATTTTCTATGCGGTAAATTAGCAGCGATTGCCAAAAAATTAAATTAGACACAAAGTTGCTCCAATTACCGCGTCGGAGCGAAATTATCGCTTTTGCACTTGAAATCATTGAGTGCTCAATTAAATTTAATACATTCATTACTTTCAAATCCGTGTGATTTCAACCGATAATGTTCAGAAGGCGGTTGCTTTGATCTCATAATCGTTTACACTGTGCTATGAACCCCATAAAAAGGGCGAACAGCCATCCAAAGAGCCGTTGGTGCGTTTGGACACTACATTTGTGATTACTTATATCATATTGCGGATTATAGTCAAGTTCGTCCCTAGTCGAAGATTCAAAAGATCCATCGATCATAACCAAGCCATAGAGATCTAGATCGGGTGCACATATTAAGCGTTGGAAAATAAATTGTCTGTTACGAACAGCCGTAACTAATCGCAGCAAACCAAGCATATAAGGATTACCAACATGAACTTCACAAACATTTCAAATTTCAACCACTCTCACGAATCGGATGAATTGTCTTCCACATTAAGCTTATACATAGGCGAAGCTGAAACTGCAGGTCTCGTTCTTTTTCTTGTCCTCTTTGGATCACTTGGATTTGTGCAGAATCTCGTCTTAATTCTGTCAATCATTCTGACTGATGGATTTACTGACACGCCTGCGAATATATTCGTCTTGAGTCTGGCTTGGGCAGATTTGTTAGTATGCGGTGTGTCTGCTCCGCTTCTAATTTACAACCTTTATCACCCCATTTTCAACATCTTTATAACTGTGAGCAAGTTTAATGCCGTGGCCACCACTGGAAGCATTTTTCTTTTAACTCTGAATCGTCTTATCTGCATAGTAAGAGATTTGAAGTATCCAAAAATTATGACATTTAAACGAACTGTAACGTTAGTGTGCGCTATATGGTTTGCAGCCATGCTTGTTCTTGTCTTGGCCGTGGTTGGTTTGATTTGCGATATAAAACCTATTGTACATATCACACGCTATTTCATGGGCTTCTACGTAACATCGTCTATTGTAATGTATGCGTACATGTACAATTTATCCAGAAAACACAGAAAACATTTAGCAGGACAAACATTTGCTGTTACAGGTCAAACACAAGCGAAATCTGATGAGTTCAGAGCATTACGTTCGTTGTTTATGATTGCTGGAAGTTTTGCAGCATGTTGGTTGCCAATGACGATCGGATTTTTCTTTACAAACGTGGCAAGAGATCCAATACAGTTTTATCGAACCTTTATACTTACTGGCCCGCTATGCCTTGTAAACTCCGTCGTCGATTCTTTTGTTTATTACTATAGAAGTAAAGGTTTTCGTGCGTCATTAAAAATGTTAGTAAGGCGATTTAAAAATGCTGGATGTTGCGAATGTTGATAGCAACTAGGTAAATAAATATAAACGTTTAAAGATTATTTGTATAAAGATACATGCATTTAAAGATTATTTGTATAAAGATATCCGGAGACGACGCAGGCGCAAGTAGTACATTTAATATAGACTTATTATAAAAATCAATACTATGAATACACTGCAAAAATATTTGACTCAAACAATATAAAAAATAATGCACCCACATGCAGTGACTCAAACAATTGAGTAAAATTACCCAAATAGATGAGCAAATTTACCCAGTTTTCTACTAAAAAAACTGAGTAACTTTGAAACTTTCAAAAATTGGGTAAATTTGCTCATAAATTTGAGTAATTTTACTCAAAACTTTGAGTCATATACTGTGGATGCATTATTTTACTCAAGTTTCTTCATGAGCCAAAATACTCAGGGGGTTCTTGCAGTGTGTACTGCATAATGAACATCTAAATCTTAATTCATTTACCAATTAAGTCTCGAGTCCAAAACGAAACATTAGTACAGACTTGATAAATCATTTTAACATTCATCTTGTAGTGAATCCTTTACGTGGATTGTGCCGCATTGACATTGAATTTTATAATAAAAAATGTATCGTTAGAATATCTTGCATGTAATTAACATTAAATGAAAATATATTATTAAGAAAATAGTGCAGAACCGTATTGTCAAATGTTTATCTCCGATTTGATCTAACTCAAACAAGTACCAACATTTCTCAGATTGGTTAGAAATTCCAGCTGGGGTTCCTCAAGGAACTCGATAGGTCCTTGGCTCTTTCTAGTGATGACGAACGATTTGAAAGTTGAAAAAAAAAATTCGTTTTTGTGGAAATTTGCTGATGACAGTACCTTATCAGAAAGATTCCAAGGAATAGTGCATGTTTGTTACAAGATGATATTGATCATATTTCCCAATGGACAGTGGAAATAATCTTCGTGTAAATCAGGTCAAATGTAATGAACTAATTGTATCATTTAGGAAAATACCTATGGAATATGATCAAGTGAGTAATAAGCCTATAGAGAGAGTATACCAACTGCCAAAGTCTTATGAATAATCATTCCAAAGGATCTGAAGTGGAACGAACGATATTGAGAAGATTACATCAACGGCAGCCAAGAGACTATGTAAAGTTAATAAAGCAATTAAAACGAGCAAACGTGTGTACGAAGACTTAGCTTGTCAGATTTTACTGCTCTTGCATTAGATCTGTTACGGAATATGCGTGTCAAGTCTTTCATAGTAATCTGCCATCATATTTGCCATTTTGAAATCGAAAGGATTCAGAGACGAGCAATGCATGTGACCTTTTCAGACCTCAGTTATATTAATGATGCGTTTGCAGAGACTAAACTTTTCCAAACTTGGTGAAAGATGGGACAAATTGAATGGTACTTTATTTAGTAATATTGTTAAGAATGATAGTCAAACATTAGCCTAGTATCTATTACCTCCAAGAGTTAGTTAGTGTATCTCGGGACATGAGGAATCCTAGAACGTTTGAAATTCCGAGGTGTAAGACATGTAAGACATGCAGATTTTTAAATTTTTCTTTATAATTAATCTTGTATAAATATAACATAAATTGTACGTAATTCATTGTAAGAGTTTTTCAGCGTAATTCAGTCTTTGACTGCAAAGCTGGTACCTTTTGAAACAATAAACGATTTATCCATCTATCTACACCTATACTCCTTACTTGTGTTTGAATTCGCGCAAAATAATCCGTGCGAAAAGATCCGCTACTGTAACACGCGCGAAAAATAATCAGAGTGTAAACGTTTGCCACCATGACACCAAATACTGAAAGTTAGACAAATTAAAAATTATGACATTATCCATGTGTATAATATATGCATTAGCCATTATAGACTCGTTGTTACAATTGCATAATCTACACAGCTCCCCCTTTCTGTTGGGATTTTTCAGTTCAGATGGCATGGAATACAAATGTCATTTTAACAGACAAAAACATAATTTAATTTTCTACCGTTCCATGATGCGCGAAATGTAGAACTGCGGGGAAAATATTGCATTTAGGTTGCGCAAAATTAAATCCTGCGAAATCAATATGTAGCAATTACCTACCGACCTGTTTTTCTTTTAAAGTCAAATCCGTAAACCAATAAATATAAAAGTCTCGCCGAAGTAAATAGCTAAACCCCTGTTTTCCACTAGGCAAATTTGTTCGCGCAAAGCGACTTTTTCCTTTGTCGGCATCACTTATCACGTCAGCAAAAGGCCGACAAAAGAAAAAGTCGCTTCGCGCGAACAAATTCGCCTAATGGAAAATTAAGTGGGGGTGTCCTAATGATCCTCACTTGCAGCTGAGAGCTAAGCAGAATTGCGAAGGACGCAGCCCAATCTGATCGAGTTGAAAGCTTTTTAAGGGCGCCTCCGACAGCCACCTTATGACTCAGGTCTGATCACGGAGCACAGGCATGATGGAAGGTTCGGTTTAGGACTTATCCCAACACTCTTGTCAACATTTCCTGTGAGAGGAAACCGGAGTACCGGAGAAAACCCACGACTTTCGGTAGAACGATGACTGCCTCTTTTCACATAAGTGTCGTCCTTCACATAAGGCACTTGCTCCGACAATTGTGCCATCGAAGCTCGTAATCGTGCGCCTGGCTGGTTTCGAAGAGGAAATGGCGAGGGGTGTCCAGTAATGGAGCTGCGTCGTCTAGGACGTTCCAAATTATTTGCTTCTTCCCTGAATATGAAGCACTTTTTCGAAAACACTCCAAACTATACTGTAAAATGAAATGAAATTGACCACTTGACCCATGCCCTTTTTATATTTTAAGATATTTTTCCCCATTTAAACTTGTTTGTTTGTAGCATTTATTTCAACACGATTAAATTCGCAGCATAGCTGATGTGGTCGTGCATTTACATAGTTATGTGCCTAACCCACCCTGTCAACTTTCCCTGTGGGAGGAAACACGGAGTGCCCGGAGAAAACCCACGACTTTCGGCAGAGCGTTGACTTACTCTTTTCACATTAGGACTGGGTTCCAGTCGCAATGAGAAGTCCTCATCGAGATTCGAACCTGCGGCCTTAGAGGTGAAAGGCAAGTGCGCTAACCACTTCGCCACCGAAGCCCGAAGCATGAAAGTATATCTGAAGAACAAGCGGGAATTTTATGCATAACTACCAGGTATTTCGCATTCTCGGGTAGTGAAGGAATGGCTGTCTTTCAGCAATTTTCTGTCGTTTATACTTTACACCTAAACTGTCTTTAAATAGATATATATAATAGACACAGTTACTACAGCAACTTCAGTAACTGCAGTTTCGTGACTTTATATTTATACTATAGTATTATATTTATCTACATTCACTAAACAGGTATACAAAACAACTAAATAAGCTCTCTGGTTCTTTATACAATTGCTTGTCAAAGAAAAATAAGATTGATTTTTTTGTTTTCCTATCTTATATCCATGGTCAAAAAGAGTTGGCTTGAGGCCTTCGCGCATTTTGTGTCTATTAATGCTGTTCAAACAGATATTCAATACAAGGGTACATTTTCTTAAATTATAGATATAAACTTGCTCCAATTACCGCGTTGGACCGAAATGATCGATTTTGCACTTGAAATCAGTGCATGCTCAACTAAATTTACATTGAGCACTTTCAAATCCGTGTGATTTCAACAGATGCTATAAAGAAGGCGGTTGCTTTGACCTCATAATCGTTTACACTGCGCTAATGAACCCTATAAAAAGGGCGAACAGCGGTCCAAACAGCCGTTGGTGAGTTTGGTCAGTACATAATTCGCATGTTTGCTTATCACATATTGACGATTATAGAGAAGTTTGTCCCGTATCGAAGATTCAAAAGATCCATCGATCACAACCAAGCCATAGAGATCTAGATCGGGTGCACATATTAAGCGTTGGAAAATAAATTGTCTGTTACGAACAGCACTTATACTAAATCCCAAGAAATAAAGCATAAGGATTACCAACATGAACTTCACAAACATTTCAAATTCCAACCAGTCTCATGAATCGGATGACTTGTCTTCCACATTAAGCTTATACATGAGCGATGTTGAAACTGTAGGTCTCGTTTTTTTTGTCGCATTGTTTCGATCTGTTGGATTTATGCTGAATCTCGTCTTAATTCTGTCAATCATTCTGACTGATGGATTTACTGACACGCCTGCGAATATATTTGTCTTGAGCCTGGCTTGTGCAGATTTGTTAGTATGTAGTGTGTCTGCTCCGCTTCTAATTTACAATTGTTATCACCCCATTTTCACCGTCTTTACAACTGTGGGCAAGTTTAATGTCGTGGCCACCACTGGAAGCATTTTTCTATTAACTCTGAATCGTCTTATCTGCATAGTAAGAGATTTGAAGTATCCAAAAATTATGACATTTAAACGAACTGTAACGTTAGTGGGCGCTATATGGTTTGCAGCCATGCTTGTTCTTGTCTTGGCTGTGGTTGGTTTGATCTGCGATATAAAACCTATTGTACATATCACACGCTATTTCATGGGCTTCTACATAACATCATCCATTGTAATGTATGCGTACATGTACAATTTAGCCAGAAAACACAGAAAACATTTAGCAGGACAGGTATTTGCTGTTACAGGTCAAACACAAGCGAAATCTGATGAGTTCAGAGCATTGCGTTCGTTGTTTATGATTGCTGGAAGTTTTGCAGCATGTTGGTTGCCACTGACAACTCAAGCTTTCTTTACAAACGTAGCAAGAGATCCAATTCAGTTGTATCGTGCCGTTGCATTTACTTCTCCGCTATGCTTTGTAAACTCCGTCGTCGATCCTGCTGTTTATTATTTTAGAAGTAAAGGTTTTCGTGTGTCATTAAAAATGTTACTAAGGCGATTTAAAAATGCTGGATGTTGCGAATATTGATAACAACTATGTAAATATAAATATAAACGTTAGCATAAAAGTTAAAGATTATTTGTACAAAGATATCGGGAGACGACGCAGGCGCAAATAGTACATTTTATACTTATTATAAAAATCAATACTCTGAGTACACTGCAAAAAAAATTTGACTCAAAGACAAGAGCATAAAAAATAATGCACCTCTATTAACTATGCTCAAACTATTGAGTAAAATTACTCAAAGTTATGAAAAAATGAGTAACTTTGAAACTTTCAAAAATTGGGTAAATTGCTTATAAATTTGAGTAATTTTACTCAAAACTTTGAGTCACGTACTGCATGTTGGTGAATTATTTTACTAAGTTTTTTCATGAGCCAAAATAATCAGCGATTTTTGGAAATATATGCATAATGCACATCTATAAATTTCGAGTCCAAAACAAAACCTCAGTACAGATTTGATAAATCATTTTAACATTCATCTTGTAGTGGATTATGCCACATTGACATTGAATTTTATAATAAAAATATATCGTTAGAATAACTGTGCATGTACTCTTTCCGTTTAATGCAGAATGGTGCTCCTGCATGTAATTAACATTAAATGGAAATATACAATTATTAAGAAAATAGTGCAGAATCCTATTGTCAAATGTTTATCTCTGATTTGAGCTAACTCAAACAGGTACCAAAATTTCTCAGATTGGTTAGAAGTTCCAGCTGGGGTTCCTCAAGGAACTCGACTGGGCCCTTGGCTCTTTCTATCGATGATAAACGATTTGAAAGCTGAACAGAAAAATTCGTCTTGCGGGAAATTTGCTGATGACATTACCTTATCAGAAATGATTCCAAGTAATAGTGCAGGCTTATTACAAGATGATACTGATCATATTTCACAATGGACAGTGGAAACAATCTTCGCCTACTGTAAATCCGATCAAATGTAATGAGCTAATTGTATCATTTAGAAAAACACCTATGGAATATATGATCACGTAAGTATTAATAATATATTAATAACTTACAGACCGAGAGTTAAGGGCAGTACGTGAAAATATCCAACCGAGGACTTGCTGTATTGACCGAGCGATAGCGAGGTCAATACAGCAAGACCAAGGTTGGATATTTTCCCGTACTGCCTGAACGGTTGAGGTCAGTAAGTATTTTTTTATTATATGGCATTGTAGTGATTGTACGTTTGTAAAAAATGGGAAAAAAGGTCACCCGAGGGCGAAGTACAAAGTCCGAAACATTTGAAAAAAAAAACAATTGTAAATTTTTTTATAGAACACTAACACAGTTTGGATAGTATTTCAGGAAAAATACGAGGTATTTCGTATTTAATCAAAGACAACAAATATGAAAACAATAAAATTAATAAACAGCATCGACAAGTACGTTTTTAGTTCGCTTCATCTCATATATTTATGTCTCTTTTTATCTAACAAAAACAGAAATTTTCAGAGAAAAATTATAAATCTGAGACTGCTTTGATTGTATTTTTTATTTAGTTGGTGTCAGATTCCTCCTGGCCATCTGCAATTGATTGTTGACCAATCTTGATTGTTTTATAAATAGTTGTTTAAAAACACATTGTAAAATTTACTTTGAGTTGTAAATTCGACTTTCGCTAACAAAAACGTGTTGAGAACGTTCTTTAACCAGAGCGAGCAGTTGCCCCTTCTCTCTATTTTACAGGTCTATTTTTCTTGATTTTGAATAGTTTGAAAAACTTTTAGATCTGTTATGGAATATATGCGTGTCAGGTCTTTCATAGTAATCTGCCATCATATTTGTCGAATGAAATCAAAAGGATTCTAAGACGAGCAATGCATGTGACCTTTCCAGACCTCAGTTATATTAATGATGCGCTTGCAGAGACTAAACTTTTCAAACTTGCATGGTGAAAGATGGGACAAACTGAGTGGTGATTTATTTAGTAATATTGTTAAGAATGATAATAAAAACACACAACACGCCATTTCACTGGCTTCTGCATAACGTGATCTATTGTAATGTATGCGTATATGTACAATTGACCATTTGCGTAACAGACTAAATTTTGATCTAAACAAGTCTAGACAAAAATTTCACCACAGCTTGAAAGAGCATCACAAAATTAGTAATATTCCAAAGTTTCGTTGCGAAATGTTGGAAAATGCGGATAATATAGCCTTGCGAAGTTTGCAATTTTCAGTCATTTTAGATTACAAACGGGAAATTGACAGCTCCAAAGGGTATTGGGCTAGACTTGTAGACTTGCTATCTAGACTTGTTCAGATCAAAATTTAGTCTATTACGCAAGTGTTCAATTTAGCCAGAAAACACAGAAACCATTTAGCAGGAAAGGCATTTGCTGTTACAGATCAAACACAAGCGAAACCTGATGAGTTCAGAGCATTACGTTCGTTGTTTATGATTGCTGGAAGTTTTGTGGCATGTTGGTTGCCTATGACGATCGGATTTTTCTTGCGACAGCTAATGCATTTGTACACGGGTTCACGTATTAGCGCGCGTATAGACAATGTAAGAAACAACATACATCGAATCATTTATTGCGATCTTGTAACCTGAAGATGACTTGTTATTATCCCAGTTCCCCAAATGGAAAAGTCAACGCAGACATTGCAACACTATAGTAGTGCAACAATGCAAGCAATTGTACCGGGAAAATATCACTAATATCCATGGTATTGAAATTGCAATTAGTATGAAAATTGGATTTCCATACTATTTTCAACGAAGACCCATACATACTATTTCCATACTAAGGATTTGAAAGAATTTCCAGTGCATGTTGTTGCCTGAAATTATCTTGTTGTTGCCTGGAATTATCTTGTTGTTACAGATGCGTAACCAGTAGTGAGCGTTGTCTATATTATATGAGTGGTTGTGCTTTTTCCCTCTTTAGTCTAATAAAATATTACCAGTGCACTTTACTAACTTCTTATTAACCGAACGCGAGGTCTGTACAGAGAAATATCGAACCGAGGTATTTTTTGTACAGACCGAGCCAGTAGGGCGAGGTTTGTACAAAAAGACCGAGGTCCGATATTTCTCTGTACATACCGAGCAAGCGAAGTTAATAAAAAGTTTATTATATGGATTTATACTTGAAACAAACAAGAAATGCATGATTTGAAATGCATATTAGTAGCGTGGTAGACATTTGGTCGAAGAAAACAAAAAATACCAATGTATTCCTTCTTTTCCACTAAAAACCATTCCCAGATATCTTATTAGTAAGAAATTAAATTATAATTTTCAAATTTTCATTTAGTTTTGCTGTTTTGTTTTAAAATGCATGCGTTTGTTTTTACGTAATGGACCGCCGACCGCCGGTCCATTACGGGAAAATAATGGACCGTTGAAAGTGCTTCTCAGCCAATCACAATCCGCCATTTCAGTATTTCACTGGAAGTGATGCTTGCCATATAATAAAAACAAATAAATGCTATAACGCCGCATATGCGAGAACTTGCATGTATACTACGCGAAAAATAACACTCCTTTCTGACAACTTTTGTTCTTTAATGAAAATTTACTGAAAGTGAAAAATTTGTCTGACAAAAAGAACAGCTAACCATACGAAATTTGACATGAAAAACGAAAAAACTGAATTGGTACAAATTCAGCTTCGGAACATTTCGTTAATCAACATGAAAACAATATTGCGCTGTGCAACAATCTTCTTTCCCTATATCCATGCATGCATGGTAATTAAATGAAAGCGGGTCAACATTCTAACTTACCAGATTATGGTAGACGCGCACACTTTCCCTATCAGAAACACTATCAGATGTCACAACAGCAGACTGACCAGTCGGCTCAGGACCTACAGTTTGGTAAAAATTGTTATAATTTCGGGTGGCACAATTACTTTAACATAAACGTTTATCATAGCTCCGTTAGCGTGTAGATATACATACTTGCTGATACGTCTGCAACATGATTACTAGGAAACCATCCACTGCGTCCATTCAAGGTTCCTTCCCACCATCCACCTTCAACCACCTAGAAAACGTGAAAAATAGCCATGCATAGAAGGGTTTGGTATAGATGGAAATTGCGAGTCTGAATTTCTATACATTTACTAGACCTAACGAGGAGCTGATATTCATACATGCAATATGTATATCAATGATATAACATGTATGTTAGCTAAGGCATAAGCATGAAAATTGGTTGCTACGAATAAAATTCAATTGCCATCTGGTCTAGTTTTGCCCTCATATATTTACAAATTTGATGCAAATTAATGATCGATTAATCATCATTCTATAATCTATGTTTTCTGCAGTATACCTGTTACGTTTTAGGAACAGTTACTATTTTTAGAGTTTAGACTTTTGTAATTTTGTATTCTTTTATATTTTAAACTTAAACCCTAACCCTTACTCTAATCCTAACCCTAATCTTAATCCTAACCCTTTCCCTAATCCTAACCCTAAACGTCTAAGAATATCGCGTGCGCTTAACTTGTGCTGTCTCCAGTTGACTCGATAGCTCAATTGGTAGAGCGTCAGCCCGGTTCGCTGAATAAGCTTCAAATTCCGAGTCAACTTCATGTTGACAACGCAGTGTTGGGTTTTTCTCATGAATATATCCTACGGTAAATAATTTGTCCTATATCATCAATCTAATATCAGCTATTACAATCTTTTTCTTTTTATCTATATCCATTTAATATCTATTTCTTTGCTTATTTATGTACTGATTTTTTCTCCTCATGTACTTGTCTCCATTTACCATTTATTTATTTATTTCTCTTACCTATTTATCTACTAAACATATACAAATATATACCTTTGTGACTTCAATGATATCGCCTTTTTGAAAACAGAGCTAAAAGACAAAAAGCATTAAAACCAGTGTAGGGGTGGATTAGCATCATCAGTGGGTAGAACTTTAACGCATGCAGGAGGGCCCCCTTGGGACTTCATTTAAGTAAGTCGCGATTTATAAAATTGAACATGCATTATGCATGATATAAACCAGGGGATTGAGTGGGATTCGACCACCTGAAAAATACAAGCAAAACTTCGACGTTTCGAGCAAAGGGCCTTCAAGTGAAAGTTAGTAGCTATAGTACTTCTAGACGAAGGGCCTTCCCTCGAAACGTCGAAGTTTTGCATGTATTTTTCAGGTATTTGAATCCCCCTCAATCCCAATCCGCAGCTTTCTGGTGTTGTTGTCACTACCCACGTTGGCACAGACCGTTCGAGTTACAGTAATACATGTATGATATAAATTCGACCGCATCTCTGCTTTCATTTTATCCACTCATTAAAACTGTAACATTTTGTTGAGACTTGAGACTTACAATATGGTAAAGAATAATTAGTGAGATTTAGAAACTTACCACTATCGCTACCATTAAGGGACTATTAACCAATCAGATGCATTTAATCTAGCCGATTAACCAATCACATGCGTACTTACTACATAGTAAAAGTTCGCGGTAGTGGTGGTGGAAGTCAAATCGAAACCGCACTAATAACAAAAGCGATATAGACTACTGTAACTACGATACCGTATTTTGCTTTCATTAAACAAAGGCGTTCTGGATGTCTTGACATTGTTTGACTTTATACAATATGAAATTAAAGACCCCCAATTGTAGAGAAGCTTTAGCCTGCGTAGCAAAAAGGTTTTGGTAAACATTCAATAAAATAAAGCGACTGCTACGCAGGCTATAGAAGCTTGGTATCGGTCCGTGGGCTAATCCGCACCGGACCACGAGTCAATGAAAGAGACTTGCATGGATATTAACAATTCGTACTGTATGTTTTCGAGGGAAAAGAATCATTAATTAATCTCAATTTTCCAGCGTAAGAAATCCTGCATCATATGGGTGGAGAAAAATTGTATTATTTTAACCCGAATTAGACGTCAAAACGGCGATTATTTTATATCTATCACCAGAGTTGGACCTCAACGTCCACTTTTTAACATAAAGATCGTTCTTCTGCCGGTCGATCCGAGCCGAAGACAGTTCAAGACACTGTCAGGTTGGGAGTATGGCTGGAGCGGCACGACTGTCAAATTTTAACGCAGGTGTCCAAAGGTGAGCTCAATGAGAACGGAAATCTCATGCAGAACAAAAGGGTATACAAGCTCACTTGTTTCTGTGTGAGCATGGCCTATCAATCCCTAAAAGTCTTTACGAGTCAATAGTGTATTAGTTCGAAATATCGATCGGTGTTGTGCTTTTCCTTGGAATTTAATTTCGCCCAAACAGCTTGCACAACTTATAACATATAATTGTGTACTCACATGCATGTAGATGTACTCAGATTTTAAAAAAGCCTTCAAATACCTGTTCTATAGGCTTAAGTCTGAAAGCTATTTCCAGCGCTTCTCGACAGGGGGCTAGTTAGAAAGGGGGCAAAAAAAGGGCTGGGGGATAAATAGAGGAAATTACCTTATTTCCTCTATTTTAACCCCCAGCCTCTTTTTTCCCCCTTTCTAACTAGCCACCTGTCGAGAAGCGCTGGAAATAGCTTACATGCATTTATATCATACACTACGGAAATTCAATTAATGACTTTCGCTGCACACTGGTGGGCATCAAGGTTGTTGATCAAGATTGTGGGTTCTTACACGTGGCTAGTAGTACATAATTCGATCCTACCTCGTCTTCATCGTTTCCTGTAAATGGAAATGTGGCTTCCACAAGATGAACATTGACCAACGACATATCTGACAAATAAAACAAACAAACATTCAAACATTAATACAGCTTTGACCAAACTAGGAACAGAGCTACCATTTGACTACTTGCTCCCATAAAATGTCCTGCAATTACAAATCAACAACATAATTACCACTTATTTACTGAGACCGAGAGAAACAGTGTGTAACAAAACACACTGTTTTCTCGAGGTCTCAGTAAATACAGTAAGTGTTTTGTATTATTTGTAATATAGCATAGAAGTGTCAAAGTATGAATAATTCAACGGTTATTGGAGTGAACTTTGAAACTAAAACTAGATAAATGGAACGTCGTAAATGTTTAATAAAAAAAGTTAAATAAAATGAACTTTGGAACTTCACGGTTGACGCGCATGCGCACTACACCCATTCTATTGTGGACCGGTCAATAAATGTTCTATTATGGACTGGTTGCCTCGTTGCCAGGGTCGTGTCAATTGGAAAACAGAAAAATTGAACTTTGACACTAACTATATAACAATGATTGTTGTACATAGTCACTACTGTATGTGTCTGATTGGATAATAGATTACAGCTACTGTACACTATAAATATCCAAAGGGTATCAGCATTGCCATTGACGGAGGTATAAATTTCATTAACGACATTGGATAATTATTCATTGCAGATCATTTACGATTTCGTCATCACGGAGCAAGTGAAAGGAGTATGTAGCTTATTTCGCTTTTAAAAAACTATTTAAAGTTTGCTTTCCATTTTATACACTTCGTTCGTGCAAGAGTCACAGTCAAGACCTATTGCATGCGCGTTTGAAGTTCAAAATTAAAAAGATCCATCAAAGTTTGGTGCGCTATAATTCCTTAGTTATGTAATATGCATTTTGCTCAGGAAGTTCAATATTTTCGATTACCATGCTTGAACTCAAGACCATATATATTACTCTGCTAGCATGACGTTGCGAAAAAAAAAGAAAAAAAAAAAACAAATAAAAAACGCGTAAGTACCGACTATTAAAAAAATTTCAAAATGAAAAATGCAAAACAGATTTTGATGCCCCAGGACCGTCACAAAACTGCTTTGCCGACTGTTTCAGCAGTCAGGACTCACTACATTCCATTCAGAATTAAAGTTTAGACATGGCAGCTCTAATTTTGGCACACATCAATCAAGTGCAGTGAATCTAATGTAGCGGTTTGAGACTACTTTGGACATGTATATAATCACACATCCCTTTTCTGTGAATGACTCTTACTCTACCAGAGTTATAATTTGCATTGTGGTGACCTGCCTTTTGTCTGCTTACTGTAACCATGCATAATAAAATAAATGGATAGGAAACTAGCTGACGTGACCTAATGTTTTCAATGGGCTGATGGCGTGGTTGGATGTCCCAACCTAGTTGCAAACCAAATTCTCAAAAACGGCATGTTTAACAATACTACAGCCAAACATTTTAGTCAAAGATCAAATAAATATAACCACGCCATTCTACGATGAAAACTCAAGTATTCCCAGTCAATTTTAGCAAATATTTCAAGCACTAAACAGTGAAAAATACATCGCAAATTTCGTTAAAATTTGTGTCGCCAATTTCGTAGCCAGTACGCTAAATGTAAAAAAAATACAAAACAAAGACGAAAACATTTACTTTGAATACTTTGTCGTGGCTTAGGCATGTTTTTAAAACAATTAGACCAGTTTATGCTTCAATATCACCCTTTTAAAGTGGAAAATATAGCAAAACAACAAAAATGCCGAGAACTTTGGCAATATTCGCGATACGTGACGTCACGTTTTACAACAAGCATGAGGTCAATGACGTCAGGAAGTTTCCTATCCAGTTATTTTACAATCCATGCTGTAACCAGCCATTCTATCCAAAAATAGAATTGGCTGCACCATTTACAGGCTATGACTTGCAAGTAACGATTTAAAAAGACACATTAAGTTTATTTTATATATTCTATAGAGTATAGATTATTAAATAAGGGTGTACATCATCATCATCTCATCTGCATTTCATTTTACATACTGGTATTAAATATATGAATACTTGATTAGCTTTAATTTTATATAATTTATATATATACCGGGTGGCCCCAAAAAAAGTACTCCTGTTTGATTCGTAATAACTTCTAAACAAGTAAAGTTTTTAAAGAGAAATAACTTGCATTAAATAGAGGAAGGACTAACTTAGATTTTGATATATTACAGTTGTATTTAACTTAAAAATTCACGGAGATATTAATGTTAAAAATGGGGAGCATATTTTGGAATGTGTCTAAAATTAGCGAAAATCGGCATATCAAATATTAACTCCAGCGTTTGTTTGCTTAATGACATATTAGGCTAACTTGTATTTCAGCGAATTATCGTTAAGGTTTGTAAGGGATATGGCGTAGATTTAGACATCTTACATGTAAGTCTTAGCTCATTGTTTCCTGAAATATGAACGTTCGAAATTATGCAAGTATTTAATATTGGGTCTTTGCAAACTTAAATGTACATGAAAGACTGACCATGGAAGGCAGGCGCTTAAATTTTTCGTATTCTTAAATAGCCTAATTTTTTTATGTTTTTAATGGGTTCAAACAGACTGAGTAGATTATTTCTCGGTTAGAGCAGGATGAATATTCTTTATTGAAGGAAATAATATTGCTTTTTGCAAATACACATCACCGTATCAACGCTACTATTTTGTTACGTTTTGTTCCAAAAATGTTGCATGTCTCTGGGGAGTTGCTTAATTGTTATGTCTTATGGAGTTGTATGGTTTGATTGTGTTTCATATAATTCTCAGTTTACTCCATGAACTTGCCAAGATTAAGAAACGGCAAAAGAGTTTGGGTGTTCTTAACAAGATTTCAGAACGTTGCAGAAGTTAGAAGAGCTTCACAATTCCGTTGTGACAGCATGCCCTAATTCAGAACTACGAACGATCCAATGACGATCCTTCGCGATGCAGTGGTCTCATGAAATAAGGAAACGTATTCGTGCTAGGAACACACGCGAATTTCGGACGAATGAATCTTGCTTGTATTTTGTAGATATAATAATACTTTGTTTCATAATAAACAATTTGTCAAGTGTCATTTATTTACTGGTAATAGTGCATGTTTCAGTCGGGCAAATCTTGATTAATATTTGATACGCCGATTTTTGCATATTTCAGACACATCCAGAAATATCCTCCCGAATTTAAAGATTAATATCTCCGTGAATTTTTAAGGGAAATACAACTGTAATATATCAAAGTCTAAGTTAGTCCTTCCTCTATTTGATGCAAGTTATTTCTCTTTAAAAGCTATACTTGTTTAGATGTTATTACGAATCAAACAGGAGTACTTTTTTTTGGGCCACCCGGTAGTAAATCAAACTGTCGTACTTTTTTGCCCCACCCGGTATATGAATTCAAATCATATGTAACAATCGCCTATCTACACTTTAATAGAGATGGTATGATACTGCAAAAAAATTATGTGTAAATTTGCACAAGCCGATTTTGCGTAAATATCACCGACATGTTATGACATGCGACACGTTAAACCATAAAAATTTTATATTATTATATTATTACATATAATAATGCACATGTATAATAATAATATAATAATAATACTATGTATATACATAATACATATGTATCATGCATATATATAAATAATGCTTTTCATTGAGTGCTTGCGGCGCGCAACAAATCTCAGAAGAATGGGACGCATCTTTTGGGCTGCTTATGGTAAAACCATAGGCGGCCCAGCAAATCTGCGATCACTGATGAGCTTTTCACTCCGCTAGCCCTTCCTTAATTTATCTGAGTCTATAACAACCTCGCCCTAGGGGAATTCCCTTCGCTCACCCCTGCTGCGGAAATACCCTGGTACCGGCTGGTCACGTGGCTCCCAGATTTGGATGCTGAAATAAATTGCTATTTAGGGAGGGGTGGTATAGCAATGATTTGTTACGTATTGAATGTGTTTGTGAATTGTAAAATAGCAAAAGTGAGTTTGTGTGTTGCGAGACAATAATAAAAGATTTGAACTTGAAGAACGGTTAAAAAAGACAAAAAACAACAGATTAATCATGTGTTGCAGCCGAAAGAGTACATGCATGTCATATTGCTCTCAAAGATTACAAATATGTCATATTTCACTGTATCGTCACTATATCGGCTTAGCAAAAGCACGCCAAAGAAATTTTACAAAAAATCCTCTGAAAATAGGGCTTTACCTCGGTGTAAGAACCCGCACGAGTGACGTCACACAATTAACTCAGTAGATAAACGAGTGACGTCACACAACTCAATAGATATGTTGTTCTCGTTGTCGATTAAGTAATGATGTACAAGATCAGAGCATAGAAATCTTATATACACTAGATAGTGCATCTAATTATTCTGCAGTTCAAGAATTGAAGCCGTGATTGCAGTCTCAGGTCGTTCCCATGAAATGAAATGAAAAGATTCGTATGTTTTCTATTTCGTAAACAGGGAAACTTAAACATTAAGTTAAACCTATTCCAAATACATTTTCAAACTATTGAAATGATGAAAGTTATCGCTGTTTTAAGCGTTTATTAGCAAGTGGGAACTACCAAAATGGCCGCCATCTATCACAAATGGGAGTAACCGGTGGAATATTCTTGGTTTCAATTTTATTAAAAGAGATGCGCTATCTAGTGTATATAAGATATCTATGGATCAGAGACATTGTAAGAATCTCTTCAACAAAACAAATTAAAGAATTTCGAATAACGCGAAGTTGATTCATGGCGAGAAACTGCCGCATGTTGATGTGTTGAGTTTCCTTATCGGATCTGCCGAGTGCCGTCCTTGTGAACGACGATTAAAGATGCGGTACAGTCCGTATGTAAACAAAGGCTTTGTTTACATTTCGATATCCAAAATATTGAATTTTATTCGACAACTATTTGTATTTTCATGATTCTAGAGTATAATAAATAAAGAAGAGACAACAATCAAGCTTTGCAAGAACATAAAATGAAATAAAGACCTAAATAAACTGTTTGTAAATAAAAAGAGGGCTCCTATGTGCACATGCGC